CACTGTCATCCACGACCTCCTAGGCGGGGTGGAAATTCGGAGGCATCAAACACAGGCAATGCTGTGCAGTAGCGAGATATATAGGAAAACTGAAAGGGGGTAAAATAACTCTGGAAAACCGATGGGGCCAGTCATACTTTCCTCATATTCATAATCAACATAATGAATAATTCAAAAATTGATCACATTTTTAGCAATACAGACATATCTGCAAAATTCTTGCACAACTTCTTCGTCAACAAAGACATATCTTCAAATAGCTCTTACCCAAAAAGAGTATTTTTAAAAATCTAATTTTTAACTGGCTCAGAATCTTTGACGGTTATTATCTTTGAGTTCAGGTTTTACTACTTATGACACTGTTGTCGCCCATGTGCCATTTGGTTTTTTTAAATTTTATTTTTATTAAAGTTAATGTAAAATTATTTTTCCCGATGAAGTACCTTAGACTTTTACTTACCAAAGGGTTGTATAGGTAATTTTTTTGTCATTCAATAACAATCTTGTTGCTAATTGATTCAGAGATAATAAGATATTTTATAACAATTGCGGGACCCTACAAACAATTGTCCGTCGGCTATGGCAAGCCGTTTTAGTTTTTATTACACAAGGCTATCAAGTCCCATTTTAATTCGACTTGATTTCCATGAGACATTAGATAATTGAAATTATATGTATTTTCCTTAAGGGAAATTACATTTTAATTACAAATTATAAATAAAATTCCTTTTTTAATAAGCATTGAAATTTTGGGTACATTAAATTGAAAAAATTAGATGTAGAGGATGATTTACATTCGAAATTGTAATAAAAATACTAAAACATTTCATTTTTATTTGAAATAATAATAAAAATTATTTTTATGACAAATAGTAATTTTAATGCAAATTTCGTTAAGGAAAGTAGTTTTTATTATAATTAAGAATTTAAATGCATTTCCGTTAACGGAAATGCAATTTCCCTTAAGGGAAATATCATTTCTGTTAAGAGAAATTGTATTTCCCTTAAGGGAAATAGCATTTCCGTTAAGGGAAATTGGCGCCATCTATGAGAGGACGGCTAAAGTTCAAATAGTTAATTTTATCAAAATTCTATAAAATGAAATTATTGCACTGTGATTTTACAAAAGATTTATTAGTAAAAAGAATTTTTTTGATTGTTACCTTTTTAATTTAAAAACGAACCGTTACACCTGTTCACATCCACCCACAAAATATCACCCACCAGTGTTGCCAGATGTAAATAGTGAAATTATCGACAAATTATTGACAAAATTATCGAATTTTCAGAAAATCGACTTTGGAATCGCATCATTCGAATCGAATGTTGTGTGGCAACGCCGCATGTGTAAGGTGTGTTTTAACGTTTCTAATAAAGGTTATTAAAACGAAAAGAAGTAGTAAATAGCAAACTGTAGTAGTAATATTATTCATTATTGTTAATTGTGTCATATTTGTTGCATTCAAACAAAATGAAAGATTCTGGCATCCCAACCAAAGTTGGCAGAACTCTGTAAGCGGTCCCAGCCAACAAAGTCAAGGTAGTGCTACTAGTAGCAGAGGGTAGCGCTACCCTCTGCTACTAGTAGCACTACCTTGACTTTGTTGGCTGGGGTGGAACCTTCGGCATCTTCACCACAGATAGCGCCACTAATTTCTCTTAAGGGAAATGTAATTTCTGTTAAGGGAAATAGCATTTTCGTTAAGGGAAATAACATTTTCGTTAAGGGAATTGTAATTTCCCTTAACGGAAATAGAAGTTTATTTTTGTTTAGTTAAAAATAAAAGTAATTCGAGATATTTTTTGTACACATGATCATTAAGTCTCATTTTAATTCGATGTTATTTTCTGATTCTCTAAATATTGTTAGACTCTATATATTGCGGTTCTAAATTTTATTCGGGAACAACATTTCAATCAGTATTTTAAATTAAAATGTTTTTAATTTTTATGTCATTTAGGAAAGTATAAAACTATATATTTAAGGACAAATGCATTTATATTCGTAATAGTAATTTTAATTCGTTTTATTTTAATACTTAGCCTGGTCTAACATAAATAAAATGTAACATTGTATCCAAGTCAGAAGCTACTTTAATAAAATTGAATTAAAATAAAATCCTTTTAATGTGTCATAAAATTGCTCCAAAAAACTAAAACAGTAAAAATAATTTGCATTAAAATTATAATTAGTAAATTTAATAAAATTTCTGTTAACGAAAATTGCTTTCACGTTAAGGACAATATTTAAAAATCCAATGAAAATAAATACAACAAATGCATTATTTTTACTATTTGTAAAGAAAATATGCATTCAATTTTGAAATTATAATAAAAATGTAATTTCCCTTAAGGAAAATACATATAATTTCAATTATCTAATGTCTCATAGAAATCAAGTCGAATTAAAATGAGACTTGATAGCCATGTGTAATAAAAACTAAAACGGCTTGCCATAGTCGGCTGCACGGTGGCCGATGGTCGATAAACGGTGGAAAACGACGTTAGCCCGGCGTCAATAGGAGACAGCGGCCATACGCGTCGTATGCCGACCTCAGCCCGCCTTCAATAGCAGACGGCCAACGAACTATAGCCCGCTCAGCAACAGTTGCCAGAAATGCAGATTTTTCTGCAAAGTGCAGAATTTTAGGGTTAATTTTGACTCATTGCAGACATGCAGATTTCTTTTGTTTAAACCCCTCGGATTGCAGAATTCTTATCCTGTAGCTTAAAAAAAAACATTTTTCCTAATTTAATTAAATAAAATCAATTTTAGTGATATGCTTGTGCAAAGTACGGTAACCCAGATGACATCGAAGTGAAGTAGTCAGAGACCTCTAGTTATTTGTATTTAAAATTGTATTTAATTAATAAAGAGCTCTACGAAGTAACTGTTACTTGTTGGCATGTATTTCCCCTAAATAGTTACTTAACCTAGAAAAAGTATTTTTATTTTACAATCTTTTGTATACTATTTACCATAGAAAAAGTCTATTTACAGTATCTATTGATTATAGTGTAAAAATTATAAACAAAGGACATGAGTGATATAAGGTACGTACACAAGTTTTATTGTAGTGAAATATTAAAGAAAACAATGCAAAATGATAAATCTGCTTGCGAAAACTGTCGTTTTAAATTATTTTACATTGGATTTTTGGATTGGTTTATGTTATTTGTTATTATAATTGGTTTTAATTAAGAATTCTATTGGGTTAAATGGCTGGTAAATTGTATCCATTCATCCATTGAAAATAATTGAAAATATTTCCGAATTGCAACTGATAAATTCATAAACTGTAATAGAATTTTCAATAAAAGTCAATTGCCGCTCCAATTAACAATGTTACCAAAGTGCAGAAAAATCAGTCGATTTGCAGAATTTTCAGTCATTTTACGCAGAGTATGAGTATCAACTATCTGGCAACACTGGCCCGCTGTCTGGCCAAAAAAGCCTACAGTCGTTGTGGATAGGTTTAACCCTGAGGATTTCCTATGAACGTCTCTCGGGTTATTCTTCGGTATATGTAGGTCCTAAGAATATCCTCTGAATGGCAAGATATTTTAACTCTCTAAACGTTTAGAACCATCATTATTCGATCAGCTATCAGCTATGCCATCACAGACGCACACCTCCCACTAAATATTGCAACCCATCGCTATTTATAGTTAGCTAGCGTGCTTAAGCAGCGGTGAATTGTATTGCTTATGCCGCGGGAGTTGGACCTATGTCGGAAATCGATTATCGTTGGACGTTGGACTGCTCGTTTTGCCAGCGTCGCGACGCGTGGGTCCGTCGTTGGATTGACGACGGAAATTAATTATCGTTTGCCGACGTTGGACCGAGGTCGGAAATCAATTATCGTTTACAGACGTTTTCAGCTCGTTTTGCCGACATCGGTCCAGCATTGGATTAACGTCGGTAAAAATACGATAATTAGTTGCCGCCTAGCGGCTGACGGACGGTTGTTGGGTTTTGTTCGCGTGTAACTTTTTAATTACGCATTTCTTGAAACAATTGTTTTAAAAATTGTTTGTAGTTTTGTTCATCATTTTTTTTAACGTTAGGTAAGCATTTCAGTTGAAACAAATAGCTCCAAAACTATCATCATGCATTTTTAAATTAGATAGTACCTATTACACTGTTGGGAGGTGAAAATATCACAGATAAACGCTCGGACACCTAAACTTAGTTTTTGGTCGTAGATTACAAATCCGTGCTTGCTTTAGCTATATCAGGTCAAAATTCAAAGATATTGGAAACACCCTGTATAAATTTAAACACCCTGTATAAATTTTATACAAATTTAATTTGGCTGGACCCTCACTTGAGTTCCAAGAAAAAGAAATTCTTGCAAAATTTAAAGTAAATTGATCAAAAGTAACAAGTGTCCCTAAGGGTTTTTCTTAGATAACTTGGGAAATTCAAAATGTTTTTTTGTATTTTTTTATTGAGTATAATTGAGGATATTATATTAAAATAAATAAATAAATAATAAGCATAGGAATGTTGGCACAAGAGGTGAAATATATTATTTTAAAAATTATAATATAACAGTATACCTACAGTGTGTCCCCGTATCGGATTTCCAATAGGAAATACTTTTTTACACCTGATGCAGCCAAACCGAGCACGGATTTGAAATCTACGACCAAAAATTATATTTACTTGCCCCAGCGTTTAGCTGTGACATTTCAAAAGTTAAAAATTTACCTAGTTGTTATCAAAGAGTATTGTACCTATTATAAATTTAAAATTATTTTTCTTTTACATTAAAGAATTACTATATTACAATATTTGACTTTTTATCAATAGATATAGGTACCTAATAGGTACTACCTATACATACTAAACTCATTTATTTATTTCACCTGTAATATTTTCGCCATCTGACGTAAAGTTAACACGCAATGCAAACTTTTCCTATTTTCTCACAAAAATAATAATCTTTTTAAAAATAAATTATTTTTATTAATACAATGTATTTTTTTAATTCTAGAATAATATTCACAATGGAGTTTACCCAGGGCATTGGGCAAGCTTATGGGTCCTTACATCTGTAGTGTCAGCCCTTCATTTTTCTGAATATCCGGTACCATTAAACCTCCCCAACAAATTTTTAGTATTCCTTCCTGGGTAAGACCACAAAAAACATAATAAAATACAATATTAAGTTCTATATTTTCTCCTTTTAGATCAGGTATCATTTGTCAATTCATAGCCTGCTTTCTATCATCCCTCTCAATATGGCTAACTGTAATCTACATTCTTCGCTATATACTGAGACTGTTGCTGATGTACAAGGGCTGGATATACGAGTCCAGAGCAAAGGGTAGCGATATATCGAAACCAACTAAAATATGGCTTAGTCTCATTAAGATATTTAGCGCTTGGAATTCGCCTAGTCTTTACAGCTACCAGGGTTCCTTGCCAAGGCTACCTTTGCCCAAAGTTGAAGATACCATGACCAGAGTAAGTTTTTAATTTTGACTTAATTATATTTTTATAAAAATATATTCCTGAAAACTATATTACAAAATATGCCCCCCTATAAAATTAATATTTACACATAATTGGTCTTTACATTCAATAATTAAAAAGGTAGAAGAATACGTTACTCATGTATCAGATACGAATTCTAAAAATAATTTACTAAATTAGGTACCTACCAATATAATGTATATTTTTATTAATAAAGCTGAAATCTTGTTGAAATTGCTGAATCTTTTTTGAAGTCAGTATTTGGTAAGAGTATCTGAATCTTCCGTAAAGCAGCCTGCTTATTTTGAACAACCAGATGCGGACGTAGTAACGCAATCCGATAACCATTACGCAGCACAGATTAGTAAAACCCAAAGGCTTGTGGTAAATACCAACTCCCGCGATATTGCCCCGTAAAACCCAAATTAACCGGGATAGTTGGTGGCAACAGCACCAACAAGACTAAGACGTGAAAAATGACAGAAACACTATACTAAATTCAGAAACTATCCGACGTGGACACGGACTCTGACAACGGACAAGACTAGACTTCGAACAGAAAAGATAGGGACTATCACAGCGAACTATCAACTTCCAAACTGCAAACCAAAATCCCAAACTTTTGAAATAATACTAACGTCCCCTAAACACTACTGGGAGTATATCAACGGCCCGGCAACTATTGGCATGTCACTCACGAGCCCCAAATAGGGTACAGTATTGGACGCGGAGGACATTCGCTTCCAGCTAACACAGGTGAGCTGTGCAGTTGCTGGTGGCGATAAAGAAAAACGGCCTATAGGCTAACGGTTGCTCTAATGGGGCTTGGGAGAGATGAGGCAATGGGGCCAGTTATACGACTAGGACCCATAGTTGAGATTTATGGTTGTTCTATAGGGATATCCACCGTTGATTTATTTGCTATCGGTTTCAATGGGGAAAATACACATACATGTAGAAATTAGTTTTTCCCCTATAGAACCCCATAGGTTTTAATAAAATTTTGTCAAATGTTTTATGGTTGCTCTATAGGGATATCCCTATATATCCTTCATTGAGATATTTGCTATTGGTCTCAATAGGGAAAATGTAAAAGTTATGGTGTGCCTATAGGTAATTTCCTATACATTTTCTATCGGGCTGTATCCGGAAAAAACCATGGACAAATGCACATATTGAATTCCGTAGCGCCCGATAGATTATTTTGTATAGGTCTCTATGGGGTATTTTAAGCAGGGCCCTGCTTAAAATACCCCATAGAGACCCTGTTCAAACCGATAGATATTTGTATCGGGATGTATGGTGTTTCTATAGGGTGTATCGGTTTTTATAGGACCCATAGTTGAGATTTATGGTTGTTCTATAGGGATATCCACCATTGATTTATTTGCTATCGGTTTCAATGGGGAAAATACACATAAATGTAGAAATTAGTTTTTTCCCTATAGGACCCCATAGGTTTTAATAAAATTTTGTCAAATGTTTTATGGTTGTTCTATAGGGATATCCCTATATATCCTTCATTGAGTTATTTTCTATCGGTCTCAATAGGGAAAATGTAAAAGTTATGGTGTGCCTATAGGTAATTTCCTATACATTTTCTATCGGGCTGTATCCGGAAAAAACCTTGGACAAATGCACATATTGAAACCGGTAGCGCCCTATAGAATATTTTGTATAGGTCTCTATGGGGTATTTTAAGCAGGGGCTTTTATACTCATGCTCGTACTCCCCAAACAGTTAATGACGATTGAGAGACGGGCATATGTCACAACATAATTACGTCATTATAGTGCCTTATCTTAGTCGTCGTGCAAAACGTACCTGCGACGTTTAAAATTGACTATATTTGATTTCTTTTATGGATAAAAAAAGGCAAAAAATATTTTCATAGAAACTGTTTATTACCTATATAAAAATATAAAACAAAAATACATTTTGGAGACTAAACATGAAAAATATAATTTTTCTTATACCTACTTATTAATATAGGTACTTATTTATTACATAAAAATACCTCAAAAAATACAATACATTTTAAAGGCTAACCATGAAAGATATATATTTTTGTTATACCTATTTATTAATATAGGTAATAATTACTATTAATAACACTTCAACAAAAATCCAAACCAAACACAAAGTTACTCTTTAATTTGCTTTACCTGGCGCTTAAGAACCTATTTATACTTAAATCTAAAACAAAAATACATGAAAAATTCTTTTTTTTTTCTTACACGTATTAATAGATATTGTACGACTATAACTGTAAGCGTTAGTGATATTCATGTGAAATTAAATAAACATAATCAAGTTACCATTTACATGGATATCACGAATTTTATCTAGATTTAAAGCGAAATTTTAAATAATTTTAATAATTTTTAGTTTCTGAGAAGCGTGCGCCCTCTTCTGGACGACCAAAACTACATGCGCATGGAAAAATTAGCTGATGAATTCCAAAAAGGTATCGGCAAAAAATTGCAGCGCTACCTCGTGTTAAAATCTTGGTGGTCTAGCAACTACGTCTCTGATTGGTGGGAGGAGTACGTCTATCTTCGCGGACGATCTCCACTGATGATCAACTCAAATTTCTATGGAATCGACGCAATTTTGGAACACAAAACCAAAATACAAGCGGCAAGAGCAGCGTCCGCTATTTACTCATTTTTAACGTTTAGACGCTTGGTAGAAAGACAAGAATTGGAACCTATTATGATGCAAGGATTGGTACCCCTGTGTTCCTGGCAGTATGAAAGAATTTTTAATACTACAAGGATACCAGGGATCGAAACTGACAAGATCATGCATTGGGCGGATTCAAATCACATTGTTGTTTATCACAGGGGTAGATACTTTAAAGTTATAATCTATAAGGGAAGAATTTTAAAACCATGTGAAATACAAATGTGAGTCTACATTTTTTTAGTATATAGCCAAGAAAAAGAGGGAAGTGGCTGTTATGATTTTGCTCTATCTTTTCACTCTTTAATCTAACAGTTAAAAAATATTTGTTCCAGACAAATCCAGCAAATCCTGGATGACAACTCGGAACCATTAGTTGGCGAGGAAAAATTGGCAGTATTGACGGCCGGCGAAAGGACCCATTGGGCAAACGCCAGAAGACAACACTTCAATAGAGGTGTAAACAAAGTTTCTTTGGACTGTATTGAAAAAGCGGCCTTTGTTGTTACTTTGGATGATATTCCATATGAATTTGACATAGTAAGAATCATTAAATTTGTAATATTAAATTATTTTTTGATCTGTTTTTTTAGAAACATCCAGAAAAGTTGGACTATTTTGGAAAGAATTTATTACATGGAAAAGGCTATGACAGATGGTTTGACAAATCTTTTACACTTTGCATTGGAAGTAATGGCAGGGTAACTATTATCTATACTTTCTAAGGGGCCATCCATAAAGTACGTTACACATTTTTTTGGGATTTAGATCCCCCATCCTCTTCATGTCACAATGTCACAAACATGTGATGTTCTTTATGTAGAGCCCCTGATGCAATTTATGTTACAATTTCTCTATTTTAGGTTGGATTTAATGCTGAACACTCTTGGTAAGTTAAACTATTTTTTGTTTATCCGTATTGTATTTTTATCGCGTTTCAATAAACTTATTATTGTAATTTGATAGTATGATAATTATTAATAAAATATTTTGAAGAATACAAGGCAAATTCATATTATATTTGTTTAGGTAAATATAATCTAAATTTAAAATCTTCGCTAAATTTTTATAGGGCAGATGCTGCAGTAATGTCCCATGTTTGGGAATACGTGATCACGGCGCCATCACACGAGCAGCGGTAATAAAAATTATCACGAAAATTTAACTCTATTGCTTTTTCTTCGGACTCTCTGTCTATCTTGTATAATTGTTAATTGTATGTATATATGATGTATGTGTCTTCTTGTTACACTGGTCAACAGCCATTTTGCCACAGGGTGACTAGCAACTTTTCTAGTGTAATTTTGGTGCGCTGATTCTAAAAATTACCATAATATTGCTTAATTAGCTTTTGTTTTCAAGATATTGTAAAAAATCGTTTTTTTTTCAATATGCAAACATTCAAATTTGTACATATATTTGTTCGATTTTAATAAAACTTTCAAGCTTCAATTATCTACTTTATTGTGTTAAAATTTCAACGCAATCAAATAAAAGTTAACAAAATGGCACTCAACACAACCTCGAATTTTTGCCAAATTTGTTAAAAATAAGTTTTTTTTAAGGACTTACTTGTGTATAATTTATTTTTTTAGTTAAATTAGCTACATGACCAATGATTCTTGGTTAAAGTATTTAACAATTGTTGTAAAAAATATATATACCTACCAACTTGAATGTTTGCATATCGAAAAAACCGGATTTTTACAATATCTCTAAAACAATTAGCCTTTAAAGACTAATTAAGCAAAATGATGGTCATTTTTGGAATCAGCGCACTACAAAAATTATTAGCTCCCCTGTGGCAAACAAAAAAGTTAATTTTGTCAACCAGTATTGGTGGTGGTTGGATGATTATTAAGTTTATTTTTTATTTAATTAGGGCGGATGCTCCCATTGCTGGGCATTTGTGGGAATGGTTGTTGTTTGATGAAGTTGAAGACCGGTAAATTTTGAGTGCATGAGTAGTAGTTTTTTCCTCTATTAGACTAATAAGCTTTGTAAATAGCTATAACATATTAATATACTTCAAGATATAATTGTTAACATTTTTTAAATATTTGATGTGGTTGTGTCTGAATTATTTTAATTTAATTTATGATACTAAAAATAAAAAAAATGACTAGATGGTATAAATTTATTATAATAATAATAGGTACCTACTAACTTTTTTTTCACTGGACATTTTTTAAGTTTTGGATATTGTCAAAAATAGGTACCTACATACATAGTACAAAATAAATAAAATTAAATACATATCACATATATGACTAACAAAAACATATTATAGAAGCAACTTTCTAAAAAAACTTTTAAACGTACGTTAAGAACGTTAAGAAAGTTCTTTCTAAAAGCCTTCATTATTTAAAGTTCTTGGATTAACAAGAACTTCAAATAATCTACATATATACCCTCACATATGATAAATCTCCATTTATCAGAGGACTTAAACTGTTTAATTAAATTCCTGACAATATAAAACAGATTTGAAGTTATAATTATAATTAGATATGAATGCTACTGTTTCTGGCATATGAAGCATATGCTGCCTACAAGTGTGTGAGAGAACCTGCAAAATTAGGATACAGGTTAGTCGCAGGATCTTAAGAACAATTGTAATTTTTAAAAAGTTCTTTACAATGGTATGTATGCGGTTCGCCAGCAATTATCCGTATGATACGTTTTTGAAGTTTAAAATTTTGTGTATCAGTTGAAAGTCCCCAGAGGAGGACCCCATATTTTAAACTTGATTGGATATTAGCATGATAATACATGATGAGTTAAGATTGAGAAAGAATACTTTTTAGTGATCTCACTTGAAAACAGTACCAAGTTCTCACTACTTCTCACAGTGAGGACACCAACCAAGTGTGTAAGATGTATAAATAACTGCTTTAAGACTGGCAATTTTCCTGAAAAATGTAAAATATCTAAGGTTCTTCCTATATACAAAAAAGGTAGTAAAGAAGATCCAGGAAACTACCGTCCAATATCTATTACTTCAATTTTCTCTAAAATTATTGAAAAGTTAATAAAAATAAGATTTATAAACTTCTTTGAAATATCATCTAAACAGTATGGCTTCCAGGAAAACAGCTCCACACAAAGTGCCACTATGGATCTAATAGAACAAATCTTTAAAAAACTAGAAGAAAAACTAAAAGTTATAGTAGTTTTTGTCGATCTGAAAAAAGCGTTTGATACAGTCAAATTAGAGTTACTTTTAAAAAAAATAGAAAAGAATGGTATTCAAGGTCCAGCTATATTGCTTATGAAAACTTACCTCCATGACAGAAAACAGTATACAAGCACTAATAACTGCATCAGTGACCCATTAAAAGTGGAGACAGGCGTACCTCAAGGATCAGTGTTAGGCCCTATACTGTATCTATTATATGTAGAAAGCCTAACAAAAGCTGGTTTACTAGGAGAACACTACATGTTTGCAGACGATACAGCACTTTTGTACTATCATGAGGATATGAAAACAATAGAAAACATAAAAACTGTATATATGCAGTTTAGCTTAAAGAATAAAAACAACCCAAAAGTGAATCTTAAAATAAACAATGTACCCATTCAAAAAGTGACTTTCTATAAATACCTTGGATTAACAATTGATCAAAACTTGACTTTCAATGAACATATTGGTGAAATATATAACAAACTTAGTGGCTTAGTTGGTGCGCTTAGACGTGTAAATGAATATTTGACGGAGAGTTGCAGATTCCTTATATATAACTCATATATTAAATCAGTCTTAAGTTATCTCATAGCAATATGGTCAAATACATCCCAACGAAATCTAAACCGAATGCAAAGACTGCAAAATAAAGCGCTAAAAGCAATTTTTAATCTACCGTATGATACACCAACTAAAGACCTTTATAAAATAATTCCGGTAATGAATATTAAACAGTTAGTTTCGAATTGTGCAAATTAGTATATAAGATAAAAAACAAAGACATTAAAACAAGTGCAAGCTTGAACATAAACTCGGATTTTCACAACTATGAAACTAGAGGAGCACAAAACCTCAGAACAGTCAGAGTTAGGACCAAAAAGGCTTCTGGATCAACAATACAACAGGGTGTTAAAATCTTCAATGATCTACCAAACTCCATTAAATCCTTGGATAAATATGAAAAATTTATAAAAACATTGAAAAAGTACATCAAGGACAATTTATAATTATTATACTGTTATTCAATTTATAAATCTATTTTTTCTTTATTGTAATGATTACTCTACGTTAACAGCTATTACAAGTTGATTTGTAGTTTCAATTTAATAAATAAATAAATAAATAAATTAAGCAAACATATTGAACGTAATTGTGCAAACATTGACCAATGGTAGATATCAATTAATGGTCAATGTTTGCACAATTTAATTGAGCAACACAACCATCCAATAATTATAATTAGCCAATCTTAAGGCAACTTGTTTGAATGCCAACATTATTATAACCACAATCCACACATTGGATTATAACCAAATGATGTATTTTGTCAAATTACAACAGTAAAACTCATGAAGGGTACAAAAATTATGTTGCTAAAATTTTATAGGTACTTTATAATATATTATTAACTCAAAGATTTACTCCTTTTCTTTGATATTTTCATATGTCCAGTTGCTTAACCAATAAATAAAAATTAAGACAAAACATTTGTATTGAAGGGAAAAATTGTAGGTAATGCACAGAAAAGAATGTCTGTCACTGTCACTGCAGGTTGATATCAATGACTACCAATGACATTGGCTGATAGACTTGCAAAGATTGGATATTTCAAATTTTATATCTTAATTCTGCAGTTACATTACATTACATTTACATGCCCTTACTGAATTTAAGTAATGAAACTATGCTTTCTTGCAAGAATAATTTTTCTTTTGTTATGCCTTAAATTTATATTATATAAATAAAAATAATAGCCCTGCTTAAAATACCCCATAGAGACCTATACAAAATAATCTATCGGGCGCTACCGGATTCAATATGTGCATTTGTCCATGGTTTTTTCCGGATACAGCCCGATAGAAAATGTATAGGAAATTACCTATAGGCACATCATAACTTTTACATTTTCCCTATTGGGACCGATAGAAAACAACTCAATGAAGGATATATAGGGATATCCCTATAGAGCAACCATAAAACATTTGACAAAATTTTATTAAAACCTATGGGGTCCTATAGGGAAAAAACTAATTTCTACATTTATGTGTATTTTCCCCATTGAAACCGATAGCAAATAAATCAATGGTGGATATCCCTATAGAACAACCATAAATCTCAACTATAGGTCCTATACAAACCGATACACCCTATAGAAACACCATACATCCCGATACAAATATCTATCGGTTTGAACAGGGTCTCTATGGAATATTTTAAGCAGGGAGAATATTTATAAATATTCAAAAAATTGCTCCACAATTGCCTGGTAATTGGACAGTTAAATTGTCCAACATTCAAAGTTTGGGCAATAATCATACAAATAATCAATCTATCAATAATGATATCACGTACCTATTAGGTGAATTAAATTTACTAATTTTTTCTTAATCACTGGTTTTTACTACTTATTTTTTTACTTTTTTATATCGGTTTGGTTGTGTTTGTTTTATAAACTTATTATGTTTGTACATCACTAACCTTCTACTAACCATGGTTGATGAATATAATCTAAGTTTTATGCGCAAAATTTCTTCTTGATATAACAAAATATCTTCTTGATATAACAATGTTTAACAACTCAAATAACAAAAAGTACTATCAAAATTGTGTTTTCTATTTAACGTAGTCATATATATTGAAAGAGACTACAAAAATAAATACTAATACAAATTTATTATAAAATTGTTTTCTGAGTTGTGAAACCTAGTTTAATTCAATCTATCTATATTAAAACATTTGTTCTGTATAGATATGATGAAACAGGCAACACCATTGGTACGCCAGAAATTATACCTCCCAATCCAATTCGTCTTAAATGGGACATTCAAGAGGATTGCCAAACTGCCATTGAACAAGCCCTGGTTTTAGCTAACGACTTAATTAACGATGTCGACCTTAGAATTTACGTTCACGACAAGTAAGTAAAATTAATCCTCAAAATAATCATCAGCCTATAACAAAATATAATGATGTAAATAAAAAAACGCCGAATAACTTATAACCGCTCATAAATATAGCCGAGACGGATATTTTTATTTTTGACCTTAAACTATTAAGATCAATTTTGTTCAATTGGTCATAAAATTGACAATAACACTGTTTGACAGCAATTTTGTCATATGATGGCCAATAACTTTTCTAGGGTAATTTGGGTGCGCTTATTCCAATATTGAAGTTTTCAAAATATTGCAAAACATTGTATAATATATTTTGTTAATCAAATACTTTAGCCGACAATTATTAGTAATGTACAGTCGTATGCAAATAAAAAGCGTACAGCCTTAGAATGAGAGGTAATGCACTTGTCAAATATGGCGAGTTAGGTTATAAAAAATACAGTGCCGTAGATATCTAACCAGCCGTCAGTTAACCAAGCGATCCACAGGATGGAAATGATGTAGTATATTTTTATGCCCAGCACATCAACAAAAGACAGTTAGTTTTATGCCAAAATAATAAAATAAGATGTTAAAAATGGGATTACAAGTTTTTCAAATATTTTATGTAACTCTTAACATATACCTTTTCGCCTGATTTAAATATTGGCAAATTATTTTGTGTTTTGTGTACTTGTTTGTTATTAAACAGGTATCGTTAACGTCTTTCGTGTTATTTTTTTAATAAGACTTTAATAAGTCAATAAAAATTACTTGAATCGTGTTTATAGATTTAAGTCTTTTATAAATAATTTGAGTGATTTAAAAAAGATTCAAGTCCCTTTGAGAAGCTTAAAACTGAAACCATTTATGTTTAACAGAAAAACAGTTACCTAAGTTAATCTCATGTTTATTTTTAAAAAGAACTATGACTTAAGTCTTTTTAGAAACTTGACACCCTGTAAAATTATAATTTAAAAAAACCTAATAATTATTTTTTTAGTTATGGCAAGGGATTTATGAAAAAATGCAAAGTTAGTCCGGACGCTTACCTGCAGATGGCTCTACAGCTGGCCTACTACAGGGACTCTGGCAAATTCAACTTGACATACGAGGCTAGCATGACTAGATTGTACCGTGAAGGACGTACCGAGACCGTCCGACCATGCTCGATCGAATCGACCGCTTGGGTTAAAGCCATGGTCGGAGATACCTCCACTACCGAGGAGAAAGTCAACTTGTTGAAGACTGCCTGTCAAAGACATCAAGTAAGTACAGTGGAGAATTGTGCATTATACTTTTTAAATGTATTGTAAATGGAATCTTTTTATTTACTCTTAACTATGGTTTCGCGTAAAAATCGAAAAAAAATTGGACATTTGTTTGCAAGTAATGCCAGAATTGAATATATTTTTTAACCTTGTTTCTACATCTAGGTAAATGGTGCATTAAAAAAAAATTCATCCATTGACCGCTGTGGTTTTCAGGCCTTAAGTCACTCTACTGTGTTAAAAATAAATGTATCTATTTTTAACACAGTAGAGTGACTTAAGGCCTGAAAACCACAGCGGTCAATGGATGAATTTTTTTTTGTAATAACATTTTTATTTAAAAACTATTTGAAATTATGATAAAATGTAGACCTTAGTAATGGCAATAAATCCGCGTATTTTTTTTTAGATTTTAACATACAGGGGGCGCTGGGGAAAATTTATTTTAAAATTTTACCATTTTTAAGGGTTAAAAAATTGAAGAAGCAACGTTGTTTTATAATTTTGAGTATATCACGTTGAAGTACTGATAATTAACTATTATTTGATGCAAATTATGTTTCTACAAGAGACCTTATTTTTAAGTTAGGCCTTCAAAGGGCATAATACTAACGTGTTTTACAAAGTATATATTCTTTTATCTAGTTTTATAAGATAATGTATTATATATTACATATTATACATTATATATTACATATAATATACACTGCTCGTCAAAATTAACGCATAACAAGTAAAAAAATCCAACTCTAAAACGTCTTTACCAATCTTTATAAAATTTTGGATAAAAATACTTCAACTTATATCTCAGTTTACGTGTTCAAGAGTTTTTCGAAAAAATATCCTTAAAGCCCTTTTATTTAATCATAAAAAACGCTCGAAAAAAAACTTTTATAGGGAATTTTTTTTAAGTAAATAAAAAATATGCTGTGAAAGACCCTATTTTTGTAAGTATACCCTGAAAATGTTGTACAAATCAAACGAACAGTAACGAAAATACAGCGCCTCAAAGTCGTCAAAAATGACCACTTTTTAGCAAAATAATCAAAAAGGGGTCATTTTTACCGACTTGGAAGCGCTGTATCTTCGTTTGATTTGTACATAATTTTCAGGGTATACTAACAAAAATACGGTCTTTAACAGCATATCTTTTATTTACTTTTAAATTTTTTTCAAGTTTACTAATTTTGATCATCGTAGACATCATAGACCTTTCTTTATGGTAACCTACCTACCATTGGAAGCATAAAAGATAATATGACAGTTTAGTTTATAAGTTGACTGATTGCGTTTCAATTTATAAGTGTATTATAAACTCAAAACATTAATTTATTAAAATAAATAAACTAAATAATGATTATCTACAGTCACACAGTTAGAAATTATAACCTACTTTAATTTTATTTTTTGCTTCACAACCAAGCTTCAATTTTAATTCCAATCTGAGGAAAGTAGTATTTACCCAATAAATAAATTAGAATTTCTTATGTTGCGATCGCCTATATAGATTTTTGTATATTTTTTATTCAGTTGTTTTTCGCTTTTTTTGTAATTAGTTATTTTGAATTTTATATAATGCTATACAGGGTGTTTCTAGAGAAACACAAATGATATGGATTTGAAATTTTAATAGCATATACAATTTGATTTAGGCCATACCTAAAGTCAATAGTTTTGAAGATATTAATTTTATTTTAATTTTTTAATCAAAAATAGCCTCTAATTTTTTTGGTATTATGCTTACATGGTGTTGGAATTTTTGGAATATTAAAACATTCTTTAAATAATTTAATTTTTTTCTCAATACCTTGAGAAAAAATATTTGAAATTATAATAACGGTTTTATTATAAATGTAAAACTCTGTGTTTTAACATATTCAAATAGAAAATTAAAAAATCTTTTGATTGGTATTATAATAACTGTTTCCTAAAGTTAAAATTTCAGAGACATTTAACAATTTCTAATATTTTCAATACTATTTTGTATCAACAAACCTGTCAAATTCTACATGTGGGTTAATGTGACAGTATCCATGCTTACCACTTAATCTGTCATTGTTTAATAGTATACAGGGGCGTGCTGGGCCGCCGGAACACCGGGCGAATGCCCGGTGGCCTGCGCTACTATGGTGGTCTGCTGGACTTGTTATGGTATGCAAATAGAAAAAAGATTTTTATACCAAACAAAAAGTTTTTTCAAGATATATCACTAAACACTAAAATAAAATAAAACAAAAGAAAGTTTTAATTGACTCCCGTAAAAAAATCTAAAACACGTATTTTTTATGCTAACCCTTAACCAAGAAGTCGCAGGTGGAAACCCTAAACGGTGGGGATATTTTGGATGCTTTCGTAATTATTTTTCCGTTTCTTTGAAAATCCAAACTGATCCGGGGCCACTTCGATAAAATGCAATTTTAGTAAATTTATAAAATTTTCGGAAGGGGGGATCAGCTCGGATTTATAGAGAAACAGAAACATAATTACAAAAGCATCCAAAAAAGCCCCCTCTCGCAGTTTTTGTCTTGATTTAATCCTTTAATATTAGTGTGAAGTGACGTAAATTTGGAAGCTTTTATGCTGATTGCTGTGGAGAGAAAGGTGCAAAATGGTTTAGATTGTGACTTAATACTGGACGTTTTATCAGTAGAGGTATTTAATTGTGATGTATTTTTACAATTTATATGAAATTGGCTTGGGCCTGGACTGCTCTACCATCTAGTCCAGGCCTGCATTGATTCATCCAGCACGCCCCTGATAGTATATTATGTATCAAGTTTGATAAACGCCATTTTATACACGAATTTAATTTAGGCATGAGCGAGCTTGCGAGCGAGTGTTTAAGTTAATGAGTGTATAGAAAAGTTTATAAACGAGGTGCATAATATATACTAAACTTTTTCTACGACAAATACTTATTATTATCTTAAAATGATTTAAATCAAAAATTTGTATAGAACGCCATTTATGAAACAACAGGGGAAACTGTCAAATGTCACATTTTTACATTTTATAAACACAATTATAAAGGTATAATCGAAATGTATCTTGAAAATTTACAGTTTTTCACAGTGAAAGTAAAGGAAATGTTTTATGAGGACTTTACAGTAGAGTCCGTGTCCGAATTTAAGTTATAGTTTACTGCCGTCGAAATTAAAAGGTCAGTACAATGTTCATATAAACTTTTCAAATATTGGCGTTGAGAAACTATTTAATATTTTTGTATTTTTGAATTGAGATAATAAAATAATTTTCACATTTAGTATTATTTTACAAGAAAGGCACTTTATTTTAACGATTGTAGGACATTTGACAACTGTCAACTAACTTAAAACCTGAAGTTAGTTTGACTAAAGAGCCGTAAAGCCACAACTTGTCAATGTGTATTTAAAAGGTCACTTAGTGTTATGGAAACATGTATGATGGGCGTTTTAAAGGTGGGAGTAGAAAAAAATAATTAAAAAGTTTGATTGAAATATTAATAACTTGAAAAATATTGACTTTAAGTCACAGGCGTCCTGAATGAGTCATAGGTCACATAAAAATGACGCCAAAAACTGAATGCGATATCGGAATAAGGACCCTGTCTAGAGTTTAAAAACATGTTTTTCGAAATTGTAATTGATCCTTTTTTTTAATTTTGGAAGTTAATTCAAATACCAACTGTAATTTAGTGACTTATTTAAGATTTTTTGCGAATTTCTTTAAAGCCGGGTCTACAATTGTCGCAGATCGCAGAACATAAGCTTGAGCAAATAAAGATTATTATTATTATTATCAGTTGCTTACATTAAATTGCCAACAAGGAGTAAATAATAAAATCTAGTTAGCCATCACCTTTGCCAGGCAACACTTTTGCCTACGTATTTTGGAACGGACTAGTGAAACTTCTGGGAAAAGAACAAGCATTGAGATGTCCTAAAACACTGAATTTGGTCTCTAAGAACTACCAAGGTGACATATTTGAGAGAAATGCGTGTTAAATGCTTTTGAAACATCCTGACACAAAAGATTTTTTGCAAACTGTTAGTCCTTTGGTCAATTTACCATACGTGTCCTAATTTAAGACTATTGATAAATTAGTTGAGAATTATTTTTCAACCAAAACCCCAAATTTGGACTAAATAAAAATGCACATACAAACATTAGTAGTTATGTTTAAAGCTGCTGATATATCTCAAACTTTAAAAATGCATGTACTAATTAATCACTTGGAAGAATGCCCACCGCGAGTTTATAAAAATTTTGAAATAAATATAAGATAAACAACATCCTAACTTCAAAGAGTCGTTAAAAAGAGCAGTTCTAGAGTTTCCATCAAGAAATATTTGTTGCTTTTTCTCACGCAATTATTACCCAGATAGCACACATACGTCCACTGGATATCCTTAGGACGTCAACCCAGGACATAGTGGACGTCCTACGGATATCCGAAGACCACGAATGGACGTCCGTAGGACTTCCAAAGTAGACACTTTTGGTTGTCCTTTGGCCGTCCTATAATGGTCTATTAAAGACTGTCCTAGGACCAAATTTGGCCATAATTTGGCTGACAGGAATAAAAACTAAAACACCTAAAATTTTTAACCAAACATTTTTATTCACCTATATTATAATTACAGCACAAATGTCCAGAGGACGTCCAAAGGATATCCCCTGGACGTCTCAGTGTCCAAATGACATCCATTGGACGTCCACTGCCGGTAAATTCGAAATTCAGACATTCCTTGCTTTGCGCTGACTTCAACTTGTCTGGTCCACCTACAATGTATTTTGCCTATGACATAGGCTATATATAGCTTACAAATGAAGGAACGGTATATGAGCTCATGAGCACCACATAAAAAAAATTCACTGTTAAATAGGAATAAAAGCTTTTTTAGATATTAAATAAATAAAAGCTTTTCTAGATAACAATAAAAATGATAACCTCACTTTGTAGTTTGGTTGTTGTAAAATTTTGATGTAGGGCTTTGGGAGGATAAAATAAAATTTAGAAAGTATAGAAAGAAATCCCTTGGAAAGTAAAAACAATAAAAATGTGTTTTTATAAAATATTTTTTTTAAATCCTTGTTTTCACGATTTGTTTACGCCCAATTATCAGTGCAACCGTAAATTTTGTTTGTGTGGTACAGTCTATTAGTCAAAACAAACCTAATCTAATTACTTACTTGAATTTATTCTATTACAAGTCTATAAACAGCCAATACCTAGTAGAAATCACAACACACAATGTAGAAACACCGCCATAAACGCCATCACACAGCAAAAGAACGCCATTGCAACGGATTATGGGAAGCGTCGTCACGAACCCGTTCGGTTCTACCCGAAGAAGACCGATGTTTAAAATTTAAAACTATACGTTATAATAACGGTGTTTTTATACATTTAAACGTAATAGCGTTGAGTAAAGAAGTAGTGAACTTATTAATCAATGGTAATAGAATTTAATTGAATTTAAAAATGATGCAATAATGGATTTTACTACCTTTACGTGATAACAAGAAATTTTAAATTAAATATAAATGTATAAATCCCGACAAATAGTACGAATATGTATTATAAACTACCTATATTCAATAATAAACTTAATTTTTTTGTAAATTAATCTTTCTTATAATAAGGCTAATCGATTTGATTGACTCTCTGTGACACCCTCAGGCTGTCCCACGAACATCCAAAGAAGGCAAAAGAGAAACCTCATAAAAATAGGTGGTTTATATAATTTGTACATGATATTTAATATTACCCACAATTTATTACATATCCGAAATTTCTTGAACGAAAAGTTTAGGCATGATAGCCCATGGGTGCACCCTCATAGTACAAGATGTCCAGAGGATGTCCAATGGACGTCATTTGGACATCCTGTGCTGTGTGAGCAGGAACGTCCAATCTAGGTAATTCTCGACTTAGCCAGGCCGAACGGGTCTGGGACATCCATAGAACGTCAATTATAGACCTGGTCCGGCTAAGCCTTATTTGGCTTACTTTGGACGTCCAAAATACGCCTAATCAGGCTAAGCCGAACAGGGTCTAGACTTGACGTTCTATGGATGTCCCAGACCCGTTCGGTCTGGCTAAGCCGAGAATTACCTAAATAGGACGTCTGTGGGTTATCTTGTGCTATCTGGGTAAGTACTTACTTGTCTTTTTTGTTTTATATAAGTTATATTTCTTTAAAGAAAAATGATGGTGCAATGTTGTAAGTAACCTATATATAGGTTACTTTCAACCAAAATATTTAATTTTACTGTAATGTGATGTAGAACATAATAAAATATCCGTGATAATGTGTTTGTGATATACTTAAGTTAACTTTAGATTTTAACATTGTGATAAGTTTAGTATGGTAATATATGATATTATGTATGTATATATATATATATATATATATATATATATATATATATATATATATATATATATATATATATATATATATATATATATATATATATATATATATATATATATATATATATATATATATATATATATATATATATATATATATATATATATATATATATATATATATATATATATATACCTATGTGTGTATTAGTTTGTAACGTGATTAGACTATGTATTAGAGGTGTCCCTATGTAAATGAATGATCTGTTTTGTGGGATGAATAAACGCTTAATTTTATTATTATTATTTTGTCCAAATTTCAAATCAATACGTTTTAAAATAAAAAAGGTATTAAAAAAAAATGAAATTTTTTCATTTTTAACACAGTGAAGAAAAAAAGAAATAAAAACAAAGAAATAACGTAAAAAGTTTCAATCGATTTCTTGAACCCTTCATCAAATTGACCGTTCGATCCTTTCGCGAAACCGTAGTTAAAGTTTTAGATATATTAAAATCTTAAAATTAATATTTCATAACTATTTATTTTTAGCTGGCTTATCAAGATGCCATGTGCGGAAAAGGTTTGGATAGACACTTGTTCTGCCTATATGTGGTATCTAAATACCTGGAGGTTGACTCGCCTTTTCTAAAGGAGGTTCTAAGCGAACCATGGAGACTATCGACATCGCAAACACCGCACGGACAAACTTCCAGAACCGATCTCAAAAAGTATCCCAACTGTATATCGGCCGGAGGTGGTTTTGGGCCTGTAGCCGATGATGGATATGGAGTTTCCTATATTATTGCTGGAGAAGATTTGTTGTTCTTCCATATTTCCAATAAAAAGAGCAGTAAATTAACCGTAAGTAAACCTATTTTCCAAGTGTACCATCGAAAAATGGTTTTCTTTTCCAAATTTTACTAAATTAAGTAGGGACTAGTTATCAACTTAGTTTAACTATTAATCATGTCAAGGATTTTTTTACATCATCTCTCGTTATCAAATTACATGGGTGGAAAGTTAGTTTTCCATTGACAAACTTAAAAAAAAATATTTTAAACATTAAATTTGTAAAATGAAATATTTAAAAAATTGATTTTTCATTCTTTTTAATAAAGCAATTTTTTTAATCAAAACAAATCTAAAAATTTTAAATTGCTTTTTAATTGAGCAAATTCCACGTTACTTGGCAATTTTTGTCCCGTCCGTAATAATAAAAAATTGTTTTATATGATAAGAAAATTTATATAAAAAAATCAAGCACTTTTTAAAATCGTTCCACCGCTTTCAAACACTTTTGAGCCATTTTCGCGTATTTTCAAAATAACCAGGTTACGTTTTGGCGTGAAATCCAAATATCAAGCACTTTTTAAAATGCTCGAGCATTATTAAAAGCGCTTGGGCGCTTTTCAAGCATTTTACTTTTTTAACACTACTATTTTTTTGAATAGTAGATTTAAACTAGAAAATGGTCAATTTATATAATTGCTTGGATTTAAACTTTCATTTTTGTGCTCTTGGGGGACTAATATACATATAAAAAATACATTTTCTTTTTCTAGGACTGTCATCGTTTTGCCAAGCAAATAGAACAAGCCCTGGCTGACATGAAGCAGTTGCATTTGGATTATGTAGCAAAACAATAATTTTTTATTTTTAAATTATTTAATATTTCATGTTAAAACCGCATCAATATTGTTAATTTACATATTAAAATTTGTTTGTTAATACTTGTTGCTCAAGTGGCTAAGATAGATAATGATTTTTTAATAGGTAATCGTTTTAATGTTAAAGCAATTTGGCCATTGTCTTTATATTCTAATAGTATTTTAAGCTTTATTTTAAATTTAGTAACTAAACAGTATTTTGACTTGTTTTTAAATCATCAATTAATCAGTTATTTGTGATTACAACTATTCTTGTATAGACAATGGTTTTTACATCAATGCAAGTATAATTTATAATTTTAGTATATTTCTTAGTTTATAAACATTATAACTTTATACCCAAATAATAAAAAAAGTAAAAAATAGAAAATGTTTTATTTGGTTGAAGTAAAAACATGTCGGATAAATTTATATCACTTGATACAAACTGCTCAAAAGTTGACAAGGAATTTATATTATAACATAAATAAGCTCAAAACTGGACGCAATACAAAGCATTAAAGCATTTCAGGACCGCCAGAGGATGTCTTAAGCCGCGTCCAGATTTGTACCACGTCGCGCAACCGTACCACGTTGCGAACCACGTCGCGCGCAATCTGGACGTCGAAACGAACGCCGTCGCGAACCTAATAAGCGTTGCAGCTCGAGGTACGTCGCGATCCACGACTTGTCGGTAAACTGACGAAACATCAAAGGATTGGTATGCGACGACGTTGAACAGTCTGGACGGACAGAAGGGCAATTTTGTTTGTTTAGTTTTATTTTGTGTATGAAATGGAGTGGACCGAAGAAAATATTCTACTTTTAATTAGTTTATATAGGCAAAATGAATGTTACAGCTAGTCTTTCTTGCACTGAGATTGCTTTTCGAAACTTGGTATCTTGCTTTCCTATGTTGGACCCAATTGCATTAAGAAGATATTCAAAATCTATTGTTGACATTTGAGTGAAATTTTTATATTGACCACTAATTCTTTGCATCTTTAAATCTGCAAGCAATTTGTTCGCACCATATTTCGGTCTATTTCTAAATATTTCTATTTGCCACCACCGCCTTTTTTGTTTTCGCTTTTTAGTTGATAAAGCGAAATGAATATAAATGTACGCTGCTGCAGCGATATCCATTTTAAAATCTGACTAAAAATTGGAACGCGGCAATGGTTGCAACCCGAGGTACGGTATGTTGTTCGAGGCGGCGTACGTGGTTGCGGGATGAAATTCGCGTCGTGGTTCGCAACGTGGCTCGCGACGTGGTACGGTTGCGCGACGCGGTACAAATCTGGACGCGGCTTTACTTAAGTCCTAATTAGGACGTTCTGGGGACCGACGATTTGGTAACATCGCATGTCCCTGGTACGTCCTGGGAAAGGTTCAGGACCTGATTCGGACGTACTCGGAACTTACTAATGTCTGATACAAGATATACTCAGGACGTTTTCAGTAGGTACTTCTTTGGGCTATCTGGGAATATAACAGCAACGTAACATTTTTAAACTATTGTAATATAACAAAATTACCCATAAGCAATGTAACTACACTGTAACATTTTAAACATTTAGCATACCTAACACAGTATTGTTGTTATGTACACCTAGGTTAAAGCTTCGAATTTACCTTAAGGTAATAGCAAATGGTTATTATTTAGTTCATAATTCCCTTTAAAAAATGTCAATAGTTAAATCAACTACATAATTGGGTAAAAAAACTTTTTATTAATTAACTTGGAATACTTAAGATATTTAACCAGTTGTGGTACCCATAGAAAAAGGATATGGTACCTACTTGAGCTGAAAAAATCTTTAATTGAGTAATATCTCATTTTAAAATCTCTTCATTAAAAATTTTGGTGTATAAGTTTTTAAAACGATGTGGCTCCTGTCCCGAGGCGGGACTTAACTTCGATCCCGACTGAGGCCACATACTGTAAATCCGTTTTTATTCACCAAGCGTTTAAAATTTATATTAAGCTGGATGGCTCAGATGGTAGGACGGTCGCTTTGCATGCGAGAGGTACCGGGTTCGATTCTATAGAATCGAACCCGGTATACTAGAAGTTGTCGAACTTTTTTTATTTTATAAATTTGTTGTTCCTTTGTTAGAAAGTGTTGGGTTGGTTGATTAGTTTTAGTTTTATCATAACATAACAAATATTAAAATTATAACGTCACTCGGGACTGAACTGAAGTCCCGCCTCGGGACGGGAGCCATAGCGTTTTTAAAATGTGTTATTTTTTTTCGAGATATTTAAAAACAACTTTATTTCTTCATTTATTTAAATAGGTATCTCGAGAATGAACCAACCGACTTTAAAAACTAACACTAATAGGTGTGGAAAATATAAAACTAAATTGTCCAAAAATCAAAAATCGACGTGTGCGAGTGTTTTCTATTTTTTTACACCTAAGCTAGAAAACCGTAGTGGAAAGTTTCCATTGGCTCACCCTGTATAATTTTATTCCTATGTTAAATTCTTCATACTTAACCAATTTGCCGCCTAGAAAACCAACATGTAAAATTGGTCAAAAAGGTTGTTTCCTAAAAATTTCTAGTAAATGAACGTATTCATTGAATACTTTAATTTTTTGCTGTTTTGTTCATTGAATAATTATTAGAATACAAATTTTTGTGCTTTTTGTTGTCAAGTTAAAAATTAAAAAAATATTTGCATCTACATACTTCATCTTTTTAAACATTTTTTCATAAATATGTAATATTACAAAAACAAATAAATAATAAAAAAAAGAAAATTTATTTATAAAAATTCTAAATATCCGATAGTTTAATATTTATATAAATTTCATAATATTTACGAACCCTGAGTAAAAAGATTATTTGCCAAGTAAAATTTATTTACATTTAACAAATTTTATATATTTATAAAAATAATTTTATACAATTTATACATTTCAATATAAATATATTATATACATTTAATGTACAATATTGCCCATTGCAACTGTTAGTTCCTAACAAGCATAAATATTTACAAATTTCATATAAGTAGATATGTGTAAAATTAAAAAGAAAAAATCAAATAAGGGCGTTCAAGTATCAGGAAAGCCTTGATTCTCTTCAATTGTATAACCTAATTAAATTGATTTAAACAATTTCCATCATAATTCATCTGCAGCATGATTTGCTTTCGTTTTAATCACATCATCTTTTTCACCTTTTAATTCACTAGTTTGTGTTTCTTTATTTTTAATAATATTATCAGTTTTATCACTTTCATTTACTACAATGTCGTCTGTTGGTTCAACCGCGAGTTTCTTTAAGACACTCTCAAAAGACGGAGAACCCACCACGTTTCCCAAATTAGTCACACTTTCCAGAATGGAATTTAACGTTTCCAGATTTTTTCGTTTTTCGCGCACGACATTCTCCAAGTCGGTGAACTGCTTTAAATCCGCCAAAATCGAAACTCCGGGATCCTCTTCCAACTTCACGAGATTATCGTCGTCTGTTTTCTGGTGTTCCACAAGAAGCTCCTTCAGAAGCCACTCGGTCTGTCTTTCAACGTCCTGCGCTTTGAGATCCTCTACAGTGGCGCCGCTTAACGTCTGGTAGTAAATCCTTAAAATATTTAAGGGAACATACAATTCCTTCGTTTCTGAATGGATAATACTCTTCAATAGACCTTTTCTGATTTGATTCCATTGAGGATTATTGACTTCCTCTTTGGGTAGTACCGTGTTTTCCTTGGGGTTTTCTTGATAGGTAATTCTTATTTTATCTACGCCTAAGTTGGCAACAAAATTTCCTACTTCTACGGTTTTTGTAAACACTATGCCTGTATGTTTGTTTAGGAATTCCTGGACGGATACTTTAAGTTTTTGGAACAGCGTCTCCTCCTCGTTTTGGCCCCACACTTCAGTGTCGCTTTTCATTTCTCTTATCGTTACGTCAATGCTAGGATCCTTTGCCAGGGCCAGCCTCAGTTTGGAAGCGTCTTGTGTAAACAGGAAAACTGATGGTATTTTGACATCATCTTTCCCATCCCCGGACATCGAGAATAGAGGTGAACCTACAGCGCTAGTACCTGGCGTGTTATCAATAATAATGGCAGCAATCGCGCCCAATTTCTCCACGTTTCTCACTTTCTCAACAAACATGCAATCGCCCCTCTCCATTATCGCAATTTTACCCTTGATCGATTGTGCTTGTTCTATTTCCGAACATCCTTTCAGGGGAGATACGACCACGGCTTTGGATTTTATGAATTCTTCACCTTTGAGACCGCGACCAAAGTGTGACGGTCCCGCCTGCACATTCACCGTTTGCTCTCCTGCAGGCGTTTTAATGGGGAATGACACGACTTGAGGTGCGGTTTCAGACGGACGATTTTGCAGTTTGGAAAGTTCCACCATCTCGTGCATAAACATGGTGCCTTCCTCAGCGTCTGCAGTGGAGCGAGCCTAAAAAAGAAAAAAAGTTTGTTAAATTCACATTATTTGTGTGGTTACTTTAATTTTATTTTGACAAAAATGTTAATAAAGTTTTGTAAAATGCTATTTTATTTAGTGTTAGCAGTTCTTTATATAATTTATAAAATTCACATTCATTAAGATAGAAATGTTTAAAAACATACTTTCTCATGAAAAAAAGGACGAATTTGTGTGGTGATTTGGGTGCGCTGATTCAAAAAATTACCATCATTTTGCTCAATTAGTCTTTGTTTTTGAGATATTGTAAAAAAATATTTTTGGATATGCAAATATTCAAATTCATATATATTTTTTAAACCAAATACTTTAACCAAGCATCATTGGTCATGTAGCTATGAGTATAAAGTTAGACCCTTAAAAAACTATTTTTAACGAAATAAAATGCCGTTACGCGAGCAATTTTTATCCGATTTTAATGAAATTTACAAAGCATCGCTAGTAGCGCCACCACTTGGCCGTAATCATCGTAACAAAACTACAACTTTTAATAATCAGCTGTCAAACGCGTTGAGTTTTAACCAGTTTTCCAATAAATAGTGTTATTCCGAATGAAGAAATATATTGCATACAGTCCCTGTAAATATAAATTGTACCTATTAGATACAATACAATAAATAAGTTGTATAAATTCAAACAGCATTTAAAACGTTTATTAAGAAAGTCTCCACTCAACGGTAGAATACCATTATATTATGTATTAGATATAATATTATGTTCCCATGAGTTTGTATGTATATTTTGTTGTTTAAAATGCAGTTGTCGGCGTTTTTTTAGAGGATTCAACTATAAAAATGTTCGATTTTAAGGTAATGTTTGTGCAACAATTATTTTTTACTAATTTCTTAAAAATGTCCAAACTTAAAAATAAATTATATTAGGTAAAGTTATCATTAGTTAATTCTGCACCAACAAATATATCTACCGAATCGGATCCTTTGACAAAACATGAAAATGCAACGATTTACTTCTTGAATTTTATTTACAATTAAAAACACAATAATTCATCATAATCACTGTGTAATACACACACTAACGTAACATATAAGCATATAAGCGTTGAGTTTCTTAATCAATGATATAAGGAATATTTAATCGAAATCGAGTACTAAACCAAAGTTGGACTTTTTACTTGCAACGCAAAACACAAATAACGTGCGCGATTTGATTTAGCTGCGCATTGAACAAAATTTGTCGAAAAAGACTTCTGCCTTCCTCTCTTGTGAAAAAACTACTTATTTATTTAAATTAAAGTTCAGTTCGTATGCTTTATTTGTATTGTTGACAATTCTTAACTTTAGACAATGCTATCGAACTCCAGCAGATGGCGCTCGCGTCAAAATTTATATTTAACATGAAAATAAATTAAAAAAAAAAGTTTTTCTCAAATATCTTGAAAAGGAACCAACCGACTTTAAAAACTAAAATACCAAAATGTAGGGATTTGAAAGGCCTTCAATAGGATATCTTTATGCTGTGGTAATACCAAAAATGAACTTGACCTACGAACAAGAAAACTAAGGGTTAAAGCAAAATTCGTGCATTTTCGTAATGATTACCTACCAGAGTTTGTATGGCATGACCAATGTTGGAGGGTGTTACTTTTGTTCACCGGATTTTTTAAGGAATTTGTACCACTTATTTTGGCCCGCGCGGTTGGTTTTGAGTACCCCTTTCGCAATTTTTATTTGATTGATAAATTGATAAAGAAGCTACAAAATTATATCAAAATCAAACAAATATTGTTCCAGAAACAGCACTTTAAACTTTGAAAAGTGTCGAATTTTTACTAAAAAGATGATTTTATTCGTTAAAAATAGGGTTTTTAAGGGAACAACTTTAAAGACGTAGTCAGCGGGTAAAACTTAACGGTTTATGTCCAATGTCATTAACGTTACCAGTGGAGTTCCTCAAGGTTCTCACTTGGCAATAGTTTTGAATCTTCATTTCTCTTGTTTGCGTACGATTTGAAGCTTTATCGACGTATTGGAGCTGAGGGATGTGGAAGCCTTACTTTACTTGGTGAATGGTGCCAGAAAAACCGGTTGTTTTTAAATCAGAATAAATGTTCGGTTATTGTCTTTTCAAGAGGTAATGATAATTATCGAAATCCCTTCTATCTGAATGACTACAAATTGAAATCTGTTGGGATGGTTAAGGATCTTGGTGTTATTTTGGACAGCAAACCACAATATCACAGCCATTTTGACAAAATGGTTATGGAACCACTGTTGATTTTAGGAAATGTAGGTAATTGTTGATTTTTTATGCAAACTTGGTACGTTCTAAACTTGAATATGCATATACGATATGGTTTCCAGTTTATAATGTTCACATAAATAGGTTGGAAGGCATTCAAAATAGAATTATCCGTCATATGAGTTATAAGCTTTCTCTTCAACTAAACACTGATCAAACAAGACAGTATTTAGGACTTAAAACACTTATACAGAGAAGGAAGAATATTGATGCAACCTTTTTTTATAAAGTGATAAACAGTTGTTTTTTTATTCATGATCCTTGTAGAGACTTAAGAAATCATCCCTTATTACAAGACCCATTGTTTCGAACTGCGTACGCAAGCAATTCGCCTATATGTCGTGTGGCAAGGATTGTTAATGAGGTGTCTAATTGTAACTTTTTTGGTGTCTCCTTGTGCACTTTTAAATACCAATTAAATCAGATATGATATGATATTAATATTGTTGTATTTATTTTATTTATGGTTTTTGTTATTGAACTTTTTATAAACCTGTATGCTAATTTATTTATTGTTTTGCGTTAATAAAGAATTTATTTATTTATAAATGTGTATAATTATTTTTTTTCGGTTAACTTATGACTCATAGCTTCATGACCAATGAACCTTGATTAAAGTATTTGATTAAAAAAATATATGTACAAATTTAAATTTTGCATATCGAAAAAAAACAATTTTTTACCCTGGGGCAAAATGGCTGTTGACCAGTGTAATTATATTATTTTTCTATGGTAATTATAATTGAAAGGGTAAGAAGCAAAAGGTGTGCAAAAAAGAGAAGTGGAGTTTTTGCTATATACAAAAATCTGGATACTTATTTTACTTGTTTACATGTTATGAGAAAAAACTACCCAATTCTGCACTTAACTTATTTTCATTCTAAAATGCACTTGTATCCTTTTGCTTGTCACCCCTTAAATTATTGATTATGAATTATCGTCTTACCGCTGAAAACGTGTGCAACAGTTGTACCCTTCCATCGCTCAACGCAATAATATTGATACCCATATCCTTGATCATCTTCAAATGATTAACGTTAGCGGCTGAAAACTCTGCCGCAGTCAGTCTCCTGCGCTTTCTTGGGCACATGCCGTCCACCATGTTCTGGAGCGGTTTGCGCACCGACTCCGGGAACAATTGCAACGTGTTCGGGCACGATCGCGCAAACTCGCCGTCGTCCAGTTCCATCTCGTGGTTCGACTTCGTACCGTTGACGTGACGACCGGCAAGACTGAGTGGCAACAAGTGGCCTTCCGTGGTGAAAATAAACTCGTCGAGGTTCAGGATCAAGTCTTCTTTGTCGCTAAAAAGTAGGAATAGATACTTGAAGGTTTCAGAGAGAACGAAGGAGTCCATTCGGTCTTCTTGTTTGGCAGTACGGACGTCGTTGACGGCTGCGTATCCGCAAGGCACTCTGGTGTACTTTTGCAGACTTTTTAGAACGTTTTTCCCGACCTCAAGGTAGTAGGGATCGTTCGTGGCAGCATACAGAAAATACGTCGATTCTAGGAATTCGGGGCGTAGCGGATGGTTGCCCCAGTGCACTTGAAAATCGATGGTAAACGCTTCAGGAATAAATTTGTGACGCTGCATCACTTGGTAGAGCATCTCGTGGGTTTCGACGGCCGGTTTGATGTCACCTTTAAGAACTTGCAGACCGGGCCAGAAAGCCAGCAGCGCGTCCATGTAATTACGGGAGTTTGTATGTGGTCTGAAACGAAAAACATTGCAAGAAAAATGTTTTAATATTCTTAAGGATGGAATTTGTATTTAGGCAATGTTTTATAATTAATGCGCAATTGGACGGCTTTCTGCAGAATGGGACCAACCCACACCATGATGAAACTGAGAAAAAAGCTATCAAAGATTTTAATAATTTTAAAATTACCTGTTAATTTTATGCCGATTTTGGACTTACGGAGGTTTAAGGGATATAATTTAATAATTTCATCAGGTGGATTTTGTGATGTTATGTGTAAGGGTGACGAAAAAAATGGGCTTTTGTTGGTTGGTTCCTTTCTGCAATTTATGAAAACTACTATCTGATGTATGTATGTATTTAAAGAAAAGCGACAATTATTTATTTCCAAACAAAATACAACTGATATTACTATTATAATGGTAATATGAATTAATTTTGATTCTATTTGAAATTCGTCCACATCATCTTCCAACCCCACCTCATCTTGTAAGCTACCAAAAAAATGCATCAAGACTTTATATTTTGCAGAAGCAGGAAATCTTCAAAGACTTTGGTAGTGGGTCTACCAGCCTGCTTTTTTACAAAAAAGATCCAACCCACTTGCAGATATTCTACAGATTCTAATTCTGGATTAGTAATCCACACTATTATTGAATGTTGGTTGGTTCAATGATTAATAGATTTCACTACACTTGCATTTTGGCTATGACCTATTTTGCAGATAAATTATACATACTTAATTAGTTCATAGGCTAAATATCTCGATTTTTTTGGTTTCGTGGGTTGGTTCCTTTCTGCAGAAAGGCGTCCAATTGTATATTATATAAAATTGTAAAAATAAATTATATATTATATTTTTCTTGTTTTTGTTTTACAAATTTAGTCATGATAAGAAAATGTTGAAAAATATCTACTAATTTTGAGAACAAAAAACTACTAATTTTGAGAACAAAAAAACACTAGATAAAAAACAAACACTGTTTTTTAAGTTTCATCAAGCAAAGGTCGAAACAATAAAATAATACAGGTCGTATCTAGTAAAGTTTCGAGATATTTAAAGATTTCTGAACTTAACTGGATTTGTACTAACGGAGAATTATTGTCTGTTGTAAATATCGATCGGTTTGATATCTTAGATATTACGGTAAAAGAATATTTAATAACTTTGATAGATACGACATTTGGACTTAGTAATATAGTCTATTTTTATAAGGTAGTATAACACATTTATTGTCAGAGATACGACTTTTCGTCGTAGAATGAACCACTTAAGACGTTTTGACTTAGAAAATTTGATTCGATTGTATAAATTAGTACGCATTAGATTAATCAAAGTAGGAAAATAATTTATTTCTAATTCTAATATATACACGTGTATTTTTTGGTTTAATTCAAGGTAAATGAAAAATCAAAATCAACCTCTATAATTATTTTTTTAAGTACCTAAACAAAACTTTAATCTAGGTCGGATTCTTCTGCAACAGTTTCTGGCAATTCCTCCCAAAACTTTAGCCTACTTTTCGATACATTCCTTGTAATTTTTTAAGTATTTTTTTTTTCAAACTACACACCTAGACCGCAAAATCTCATTTCCTGCATATGTCAGGAATATTCTCAGTATTATTCCAAGCGTACCAGAATATTCCCAGGAATATTCCTGGCGTAATCAAATGTCCGCTTTTTGGTTAACCCAGTCATCATAAAAAGAATATTCCATGTAGCGGCATGCATATGACTTAAGTATTGTCATTAACATTAATCTCAATACAGGTTGTTTTTCCGCTATTTGACGTTTGAACACAGTTTTTGTAATCCTCAAAATCTATAACTTTGCCTTTTTGTTTGAATGCCTTTTCCACTTGATGATGAAATGAGTCTTCACTCATAAATGTATAACCTGTTTGTAGATATTTGAGTTTTATGCCATTGGTATAGATCAGATAGGATATTAAATATAATGTAAATTTTAAATTCATAATGCATATACCAAGAGGAAAAGTCCTAACTGTCAGATAGAATAATTTGACTTAGTAGAGATCAGATAGGATATTTTGATTTAGTAATTGGATAATATTTGAAAGATACGACAAATATTATAAGTTATTTGACTTATTTAGGCTATATACACACATGATCAAAATTGTTGCATATTTTTGTATTTTAATTTTCGCTTTGTATAACGTTCTGTTTTTTGTTTTTTTTGAATAAATTTTCATTTAATTGTTATAATACGTAAAATAAGGAAAATTTAATATATTGAAGTATTTTTGTGGGAAATAATAAAAATAAAAGTTTCGGAACCAATCATCCTCCTCGAAGACGATAGTTCCGACGAGGATGATGACTTTGACAACAGTATTTAGATAAATAATTTATTGACAATAAAATACATAGTGTACATTACAATTATAAACAATTTTGAGAAAATTATCACCTTCATTCTATAAATAAAATTTATATTTAAAATGTTTTTTCACCTAAATCGTCTCTGATAATAAATTGTTTTCACTTTTTAAAAATTATATTTAGTTTTATTTTTAATATTTCCTACAAAAATATATACTTTAACATATTAAATTTTCTTTATTTTACGTATTATAACTATTAAATGAAAATTTATTCCAAAACAACAAAAAACAGAATGTTATACAAAGCGAAAATTAAAATAAAGAAATATGCAACGATTTTGTCATGTGTGTATACGATTTTCTGACTTGGTACATTGATAGGTTTTGGTTAATAGATGCAAAATATGCAAAAATCTGGAAATCCAATTTTTTGTTAGTTACGACCCCTTGTCTTAGCACGGTAGTATAGTAGGGTCATTTAAAAATCATTAAGATTGCATCAAAACTAAAAGATCGATACCAAAAATTTAAAACTCGATTAATATTTAGAGGTCGCTACCAGCGATTTTTCTACTTTTGCACTTTTGAGCCGCAAAATTATTACTGTGCATAATAGTTGATAACTTGTTTTAGTGATTACTCAATAATTTTAAAAATTACCTTATTTCTTAATACCCCCCTAATAATAAGTTTCAGTAAAACTGTCTGAGTGGTTTTCGTGTAAAAAAATATAAAACTAGCTACCTAATAGGTAGTACCTATAATATAATAGGTAAAGTTTTTTCTTGTTTTAGGTTAGAAAATTCTTACACACGTACTTCGGAAATAAGTACTAAAATCAAGTTTTAGGTGGTAAAATTATTTAATTTATTATTATATAAAATTTTATTATATAAGATTTTTATGGTTTGAAAAATTTAAAAATAACTGACGAATATATCTTGTTAAAATATTATAATGGCATCATAATTTTATAATTTTTTTTAAAGCGGCGGCACATTTAAACTGTGCATACAATTTATTGTCAATAAAAAATTTACATTCATTAATAATTTTGGTTGTACAGGATTAGTAGTGTGGATTGGTTGGTAGTGGTTGTTACTGGGAAACGCGAACAGCGACGCGAACAGCGACGCGAATGTGACATTCCTGTGCAATGTCTCATGCTTTTGCAACCAACCCACACTATCAATCCTGTACAACAACCCCAATATTACAACACAAAAAACATATTTATGATAAAAAAATTTGAAAATTTGGTCCTTTCCTGTTAAAAATATAAGTTAAATAGATAAAATCATACTAATTATTGTATTTTATTGAAAATTTCAATTTGAAATCCACATCTTTTTATGTTATTAATCACTGAAACCGACTGAAATGACGTTCAAAATTACCACTTACCTATGCATATGCACATCCAGCAACATTGGCCCCTGCGATATATACTTCATGATCGCGTTGTAATGTCTATTGAACCTGTTCAGGTACTTATCGTCGCCCAACAGTATGTACGCCTTCAGGCAGTACTCGTAGTAGGAGTCGATGCCGGCTCCGACGCCGCTGTCTCTGCGCACCCAGTCGCCCGAGTGCACGTTCAGGACGGTGCCCATGAGATCGGAGCTGCGGTGCCGCATCTTCCACAGCTCGTCCATAGCGTTGTGCGCCTTCGCCTCGAACACGGGCTCGCCGGTCAGACGCGACAACGCCGCCATCTCCAGGATCATCGAGCCAGCGCAGGCAGTGCACGTTTCTCGAGAGGCCTCCAATCGGTCGCTTTTTATGCCATATTTTAGGTTCACCTAAAAATAATGATTTTGCACTAAATCAACACTGTTTTATTATGGTCAGCCAGTTTTTATTTTTTGTGAAATTATTTATTTTTATTTTAACAGGTTTAGAAGCAGGACAATACTTAATATTAAATTTTTATTTCATTGTAAAAAAATGGTTGTAATTTTTTTGAAAAGTTCTTGAATTTTATTAACAGTCTTCTCATTTTTGAATTAATTGAGATTTAAATATTTTTGGTGAAATTATTTATTTTTAGGTCTATAAAATTATACAAGGCAAAAGTTACCACCGGATTTTCCAAGGCTATATTTTTTTGTAAATTTGTAAGAAAAATCGGTTTTGTTTGTAAATAATGTTTATTTAAATCTTTAAGTTTTTCTTGTTAAAAAAATACTATCGGCCATGTGGCCGCCGAAGGAGTTGATTTAAGCGCGTTTTAGAGCATTTTTCGCAAAAGTAATCATTCGATTTTTTAAGTCTATAACTTTTTTGTTAATGAAAAAACCTTTTTGTTTGTGAATAATGTTTTGTTAAACCTTTACATTTTTTCATGTTAAGACAAGAAAATAATATCGGCCAAGTGGCCGCCGCCATAGTTAATGCACAATGGAATTTGCACGTTTTGGAGCATTTTCCATTACTTGTCTTAATACTTCATTATGTACAAAACACGTGTTAAAATTTACTCCAAACCTATTTTAAAATAGACTTACTCTTGAGTAGGGAATGCCAGTGGTTGTATTGAAAGCGGGCATGAGCCTGAAGCCCACATCCTTTGCCATTGCCAACAGCTCCCCCTTGTACCATGGCATGACGCTATCTCGTTGCTGTAAATATTCCGCCAGAATGTGAGCAGAAAGCAAACCACTAAAAATGTTCAAGAAAAACATGGTGTAATGTGTAAAACATAAAACAGCATGCAGTGTATGAAAAAATATTGTTAAAATGTGATGCATTATAAATGTTTCTCCACACCCGCAAGGAATATGTAATAATCGTGGCCCTGCTGAGAGTGGGCGAAATAATAAATTCTTTATTTCTTAACCCGTGGGCGAAATGCTACTTCACCCACGGGCTGAATTTAAGATAGGTTAAAATTAAATAAAAGTGAGGATAAAACTGCTTGACAAGTGTCAGATGTCAGATTAAATATCAAATAAAATTGGCGGTAGTTAAATACAAATTTGTGTGATTATTGGTTAAGAGGTGATTTCACTCGCTACGCTTGTGCGGCAAACTCCTGGCCCTTTTTCCCACTAGTTGCACAATATACTATTTATCTACTCTCATATTGACAAGCAGTAACTTTTTTTTCACGTTATGAAGTTAGCAACAGTTGTTTTTGGGCTTTTTAGTCACTGGCTGAAGTTAGCTTTAATATGAATTGCTAAAAACTGAGGTTAAATTCGTCTGACAGTTGTGAGGCAAGATACATACATCTTAAGATAGGATGGTGCGCATGTTGGGCGGGGCTTAATGACGTCACTTGATGAGTGTTTTTAAATCTTTAACGTGCTTTTTAATTATCTACTGCTAAAATTCTTGTTTTTGCGATGCTTTTGGATGTTAACTTGCTCTACTTTTTGTTTAACTTGTCGTTTTTGTGTTCGGTAAGGTTCGAATTACTTTTCAGCGTTCAAATTATTGTTATTGCGTTAGGTTAACCTGTTTGTTTATTATTGTTTTTGTGTTGCGTTAACTTGTTTTGTTTGTGTTTTAGATTGTATAGTGCCATTTTCATTTATTAAAATGCGGTGTGGCATATATGGATGCAATTCGGACAAACAGTCCAAGAAAAACCCTTTAAATAAAAACATTAAATTTAATCGATTCCCGAAAAAGTTTGATTTGTGGAAACAGTGTTTAAATGACACAAAAATAATAGACAATATTTACGTTAAGACCGCTTCTGTTTCCTATAAACATTTTCTGGACAGTGACTAGTTTAATTTAAAACACCAACGCTTAAACTACAGCCCTAAATGTTATCAAGGACTCAAAGCATTTATTATCCATATTATAACACTTTCTTCAATATTAAGTTTAATAAAAACGCACTATGTCCAGAAATTTCTCTATTTTCTTTGATAATATTACTATTATTCGTGTATTCGCACGGCAACTACTCATCAAGTGACGTCATGCGCGGGACGAACCAAAACTCGTACACGGGAGCATCCAGCCCTGGTTGTGAGGTGACAAATGTTTAACAAATAAAATTGTTTTTAAATTCTTTTTGTTCCTGGATAAAGAATAGTACGCAACTCGTTTATAAACTTTTCTAGACACGCTTTGCTCGTGCCTTATTAAAACTTGTGTTACTATAATGCCGTTTATCAAACCTAATAAATAATATACTACTACATAGCTGATACATTTTAAAACCTTGTTTTATATTATAATTCAATAATACAACATAATATCGTCGTATGTCAAAAATCATTAACTTTTCAGGACAAAAAAAACGATACTGTGTATCAAGAAATATAAAATATAGAAAAATGGTTTCTATTTTATTATAGACTAAAATTATGAGCTTTTCAGGAGGACAAAAAACGTTTTTTTCTACAACCAAGCGAAAAGTACAAATTTGCGCTTCCAAAAGAAAGCGCAAAGTTGCACTTTTCCAAGGAGCAAAGTTACTTTGTCGCTCGCTTAGTTACCATGGAAATCATAATAAAGAAACGTTTAAATTTGAGGTTATCAATAATTATTAATTTTTACCAAACATTCTTATAGAAACACCGGTTGTAGAAAAAATCCTGTGTGTAATTCGAGAGCTCTTTATACACAAATAGCTTTTGTACTAAAATGTATAGTAAAAAACGTTTTTTTCCCTCTTGAATCTTGAAATTATGAATTTTAAATTGCTTAGCAATATTTTTTACAACATATTAATGCGAATTAAACGGTCGCACACAAATTAATTACTACTTCAGTTTAAAAACCCAGGTCAATTAATCAAACCAGTTTGTTTGGTTAATTGCACTTCTATAAGAAGTGTTAAAAAGTTCCAAATATAAAAATATATGACTTAATTAAGTGAATTAATTGACTTTATAATTAAGATATAATGTCGAATAACGTATTTTACTCTTAGTAAATTTGTATATTTTTATTAAGTATGTAAAAAGCTATTTGTTTTGGGATCAATAGCATAACATTGATTTTTAAAATTTTGATGTCCATATAACTCATTATTGTTATTTATATTTAAAATTTGTCTATATTTTAGCTGGCATTTAAATATAAATATTAAATTTTAAATGGTGTTTTGTGATTAACCACTATGAGATTTGACCAGTTTAAAAAAATAATTTGCATTATTAAATATAACATTTTTACGTATAAAATCATATTATTCTTATTTACCCAAATACAAATGTTTATAGACATAACAATTTTAACCGTGAAATGTAACTATTATTACCAATTAAAAAAAAACAATTTAATAAGATTACATTTTATTTTATGCACTTACCCCACAACTCTGATGTTAGTTTCGAATACTGAAACCACAACGTCATTATCAAAAGAAACATCTTTTATAATTAATTTCACAGCATGTTCAAATTCTTCCAAATCTCCCAGCACCACTAAGGTGTCCAATGTATCTATTAAGGTCAAAGAGAAGCTAAAAATAAAAATAACATTATAAAACATGTATTAAAAATTTATACAGGATGTTTAAGATACAGGGTGTTTCTTTTAACTTGAGACAGCTCAATATCTCGAGAAATACGCATTTCACGGAAAAATGTCCTAAATAAAAGGTTAATGTGACCAAAGGGGACATTATTTGGTGCTACCGCTAGCCACCCCCTACCCCTCCTTAAGGGTGAAACGGGGGGTAACTTTGGAAAGTCAAATGGAATGACCCGATTTTTTTCACATAGTTTGGTAGTACATAAAAAAATGAATAACTTTTATTTGAAAGTTTTTTTTAATTTATCAACAGATGGCGCTGTAATTCAAAATTTAAGAAAAAGGGGTTTCCTTGTAAAATGTATTATTTGAAACGTTTGAAAAACAAAAATTAACATTAACAACAATAGTCGGCTATGAAAACAGTTTCATCCTTAAGGAGGGGTAGGGGTGGCTAGCGGTAGCACCAATTAATGTCCCCTTTAGTCACATTAACCTTTTATTTAAGACATTTTTCCGTAAAATGCGTATTTCTCGAGATATTGAGCTGTCTCAAGTTAAAAGAAACACCCTGTATATGTATGTGCCATCTGCAGTCATCTTGCAACAGAGGGTTTTATCTTATAAAAAAATGTATACGCCACAGTACCTAGTTGTACTTTTTGATAATAACGTTTATAGAGTTAAGTTTTAAGCAAAATTCATTCTGTTTTTTTTTTGTAATTTGAGCAGAAATAGTATGTTGTATTAATTCCCGGACAACATTCGTGATATTCATACGAACATCACGTCGTGATTTTCACAAATTTTATTCATACTGATATCATACGGAAATCACCGCGTGATAAATGAAAATCATACGAACGTCACGTCGTGATTTTCACAAATTTTATTCATACGGACATCATCCGGATGTCACTGCGTGAGAAATGAAAATCATGTCGTGATTTTTTATGCCAACGGTGTTTGGATAATCATTTTTGCGCCACGTTTAATTTAATATTTTCTTGGATTTAAATGAACTAAATATAGTTAATTTAAATCCAAGAAAATATTGAATGTTAAACTGTTGATTCAATTGTTAACATACTTTTTCTTTCAATGTACGAATGGGTCGCAAAAATGAATATCCAAACACCGATGGCATAAAAAATCATGTCGTGATTTTTTATGACCAAACACCTATGGCATAAAAAATCATTTCGTCATTTTTTATGCCATCGGTGTTTGGATATTTATGTTTGCGCTACATTTGTACATTCAGAGAAAAAGTATACCTACATATAGGCATATTGAATCAACAGTTTTTGTGGTTAAATACATTCAATATTTTTTTGGATTTAAATTAATAGTTAATTTACATCCAAGAAAATATTAAATGTATTTAACCGCAAAAACTGTTAATTCAATTGTTAACATACATTTTCTCACAATGTACGAATGTGGCGCAAAAATAAATATCCAAACATGTCGGTGCACCGATGGCATAAAAAATCATGTCATGATTTTTTATGCCCAAACACCGATAGCATAAAAAATAATGTGTTAAACTAGGTTTTAAATTCGCAGTTCGCAGGGCTTATACGCATGCGCAAACTTTGCAAATATCACACCGTGAGTTCTACATGATATCACTGTGATGAAGCATGTGTATGCACTCAGGATATCACGGCGTGATAAAAAAAAATCACGTTGTGATATCATCATGACTTCACCAGGAAATCCCGATTGTTGTCCGGGTTATTATAAGATCAACCCAATAAATTAAAAACTTTAACACCCAGTTTATTAAAAAGTTTTTAATGAAAACCAATCAAGAATACATGCATCAAATAACATTTTAAGTGAAATTTTTACACAATCCAAAATACCAATTAAATCTCAAAATATTCATATACAATCGATGAATACCCGCAATAAATATATAACTTGTCCCTACCGATCCTTGATGGTGGGCGTGATAATAAATTCTCTAATTGTTAATTTCTTAACCTTAACTCCAAAAAAGTAACGTTGAAACTGTCTGACAGATACAATTTAAAATAAAATTCAATTTTAAATTTTAAAAATTGGCTTTAAATTCCTTGCGCCATAATTGTCTCTGTTCTTTAATTGTTCATAATTCGTTTTTACACTGTTATGTATATTTCTTATGGTAGTTGAGAAAGAGAAATCTCCTCTTTCTTTCACTAGTAGCACAATATACTATCTTTTTTTAATGAGTTATAAAATTTATTTTAAAATATTAATTTAATAACTTGTGGTTTTTACTCACAATTTTTAATTGTGACGGGCGGGACAAAAATTACCGAGTAACTTGGAATGCCCCTCGGACTAACGGACAAACGGATACATGAAAATTAAGGGTCATTCCACGTTACTCGGGGATTTTTGTCCCGCCCATCACAATTAAAAATTGTGAGTAAAAACTATACGTTATAAAATTTATTTTAAAATAGTCTTTTATTACGCTTTTAATAAGTTATAAGCACAATAAAAATAATATTATAAAATATTAATTTTATAACTTGTGGTTTTTACTCACAATTTTTAATTGTGACGGGCGGGACAAAAATTACCGAGTAACGTGGAATGCCCCTTAAGCTTTATTCTTTTAATTTTTAAGGTATAAGTTACTTAAAATCCAAAAACTTACCTTGTCAATTTAAATAAAGGCACTAAAATTGGAATTGATTATACAAGCCTAATTAATTGTGTTCTAAATGATATTTAGACATACATATACAAATACAATACAAATTTTGAAACGAATGTCAAAATTTGTATTGTATTTGTATATGTATGTCTAAATATCATTTAGAACACAATTAATTGTGTTTGTATAATAAATTCTAGTTTTTAGTGCCTTTATTTAAATTGAGAAGGTAAGTTTATTGATTTTAAGTAACTTATACCTTAAAAATTAAAAGAATAAGATGAAAGAATTTTAACAACTGTCAAACACGTTTTTAGGTTATTTTGTTTTGTATTTGAATATAATAAAAAATAAAAGGGTCGTAGAAAAAACATTGTGTTTTACTTGTGAGAAAAGCTTTCTTCAAGCTCGTGTTAATGCACACTTGGCCTGAAGGCCTCGTGAGCAACTTAAACACTTGCATGAAAAAGTCGCTTTTTAACACTTGTAAAACAAATAACTATTTGAAATGCCTCGCGCTTATACCGTTGCCGAACGTGCAGACATGGTCCGTTTTTATAACGAATATTCTTCCAATTCTACGAAAGCTGCACGCAAGTATCGACTAAAATTTGAAGGTGTGCGTGATCGGTTTTTGAACCATGCTTCAATTTTCTGCGAGCCTTCATAAAGAAGAACGCGTTATTGAGGCCATTGCAGCTGATCCGGGAACTAGCGCTAGCCAACTTGAGCGTGGCTTAGAGATCTACAGCAGCACCTTTAACCGCATAAATAAGTGCGATTCGCACTACAACCCAACATCTAGAACTTGGAGATTACGAGATGAGAGGAGAGATTTTCTATGGTATTTTTGGAAACGTAGAAAAAGTATAGTCTGAAACACGTTTGGAATTGCATATTCCGCTCTCGTAAATCCGTCAAACTTTTTACTCAAGCGGAATATGCCGTATTCCAAACTTGTTACAGAATATACTATTCTATCACCAGATGACGGAATACACACTGGTGGCGACATCTCTGTGTTATTATCTAACAACTTTTAGACCAATCCAACCTCACTTTCTCACAATTAACTTATTTTTCCATGGTATTTTTTGGAAATAGAAGTATAGTCTGAAACACATTTGCAATAATTGTATATTCCGTTCTTGTGAAACCGTCAAACTCGCCTTCGATAAGCAAAACTAAACAAGTTTCTATTAAAAAAATATCTACTATTATAGTGTTACTTTCCAGCACTAAGGGTATTGTTTTAATGTCTGATTTGAACTGTTGTTTTATCTTTTCCTAGAATTTTAATTGTGTATACTTTTACACTTATACCTACTTATGCTTTCATTTTGAATTATTTTTTTGACTTGATCCACACCTTTAGGGTACACTGTACAATATGTTAATAAGTATTTATTGTACATATGATCATTTATCGAAATATACTACTATACTATATACAGGGTGTCCGGGAAAAGGAGGTCAATCCGTTAACCATATATTCCTTGAGTTAAAACAATAAGACTTTCATAATACCATTTTTCAATTTAGAGCTTCATGTTCGATATACAGGGCGACAAAGTTTAAAATTTAAAACTGATTATTTTTAATAATTCGAGTAATTGATAAGATATTAAGTTTAAATTCGGTACACTACTTCAACATAAATAGTTACATTTTTGGAGACCAACAAAACAAAAAACAATTGTCAAATTATCAAAATCCAGTACTCACTGACTACCCCTATTTTTTAGTACGAGCGCCAATGAATTCAAAACGGTATTTTTTCAGGTAATCATTTATTGTTAAAAAAAATTGTCTTTTGATAAAATGATTTGTTTTAGAGATAATTTGTAAAGTATGGGTCAGTCCATATCAAATTTTCGAAATTTAATTTTTTTTTGAAAAAATTTAGGTCATGTTATATATCATAGAAAAGGTCTCTAATAGGCCTTTAAAATAAGCCACCACTCACATTTCTACTTTTAATAGTTTACGAGATATCGCTATTTTTGTAAGAACTTGCAAGACCCGAATTTATCGGAATTTTTTGATTTTTAAAAATCAATAAAACAAAAACCACCTATCGAAAAAAATTCATATATGGGATTTTTGAGTTTTTTAGTGAGGTAAACAAATTTACCAATAGGGGGAGCAGTGGCGGCTCGTGGGTGTACAGGAGGGTGAGGCTACATAAGGTTAATTTTGTCTAAATACGAATAAATTTCCACGTCACCCGGGAGGTATTATTCTGCGACGCGTTGACCTTTTTTAAAATGGAGCCGATAGCACTACTAAACCAAAAAATAAACTCTAACAAACAAAACAAACAAAATATCACATCAAAGACTAGTTTTAATCTTAAACTTAAAATATAGTCTTAAAAAAGTTAAAAATAAATAAATTAATCAAAAAATAAAAATAAAACTAAAAAGTCGACCCCTACCTAAGTATTAAAAAATATAAAATACTATACGTCTATCTTTTAAGATTGAAAATTTATCTATTATTTGGTCGTAAAATTGTGGGTCTGCAGTGAGATTTAAAAGTAATTCTAAATTTTCAAACCGCGTCTCTAATTGAAGAATTATGCAATCTATTATTTCAAAATATAAAATTTGCTTAATAAAAACTGCTAAATCTACCTTAGTGTGTTCCCTACAATAATTAAATAAGAAATTTTACTAATCGAGACAAAAACTATAAAAGATCAGCCAAAAGTTTTAAATAATTTAATCTGAATCAAAACAATAACGTGCTCTACAAACGCTAAGAGAAGACTGGCAACCTTCTTTAAAGAGGATGCCAGCGGAGACAATTGTCTCCGCTGGCATCCCACCATAAACAGACCACCAATCAGAACAAACCAAGCTAACTAAATATCGCCTCCTTGTTGGTGAGTCATTTTCGCTTTCAAGAGGTAAATGGGAGCTTCCGAGGCTGTGAAAATTTCGCCTCTGTCCAACGATGCACGTTAACTTGACGCTTAGTATGATTGATTGGTTTTTTACTTTTTATTGGGTAGAACTGTTGTAAAAATACACTTGTAATAGGCAAAAATATAAATACAAAAAGTCGTTCGTTCCTTCATTTTAAGGGTGAGGCGCGGCCTCAGAGGCCTACCCTGACGAGCCGCCACTGAGGGGGAGTCAGTGAGTACTGGATTTTGATTATTTGACAATTGTTTTTTGTTTTCTTGGTCTCCAAAAGTGTAACTATTTGTTGAAGTAGTGTACTGAATTTAAACTTAATATCTTATCAATTACTCGAATTATTAAAAAAAATCAGTTTTAAATTTCAAACTTTGTTGCCCTGTATATCGAAGCTCTAAATTGAAAAATGGTATTATGAAAGTCTTATTGTTTTAACTCAAGGAATATATGGTTAATGGATTGACCTCCTTTTCCTGGACACCCTGTATATGTTTAAATAACCAAATAAAACAAATAATAAAATAGATTTTTTTTAAATATTGTTTGTTAAAATTTGATAACAAGTGGAACAAAACATTATCTTAATTACCTACAACCACTTTCAAAGTAAATTTGCATAATAATCATTGTGATAAGAAATTCCTATCAACTGTAACAGTCACATTAGTATTTAAACATAAATAATTGATTTGCATTATACAGAAATATTATTACATTTATTTTGAGTTGTTAAGAATACCCTTTTCACCAAGCTTATTTTATAAGAATTTCCCCAGCTGGTTTATTAAATAAAATTTGAAATACCTAATTAGTTTTATTTGACAAACTACTTTATTTCTTGTTAAACTATTGGCTGTTTAAATAATGATGATATAAACTGGACCACCCTGTATATTCTATACAACATACTGTATAATATTATTAAAATCTTGGAAGATCAAAAACATAAATACAAGAATTTTGCTTTTTGTTTATAATCATAGGTATTAATTTTTTAAATGTTTTGTGATAGAATAATACCTGCCTACTAAAAATACTTTATAAACTAATGATAAATAATTGGCTTGGTTATTTTAAATAAAAATATATATAATTATTGTTTATAAATCCTATGATGAAATAATTAGATAAATAACCATAATATTTATATACCTAGGTAGTATATTTCAAGACAAATTAATTAAATTGTAATTTTCAAAACAATTGTGACCCAATTATTGACCTTCATGTTTTAGGCAATAGAAAACAAACTCAGAATACTTACTTTCCCAAACAATCATCAATATCACCCCTATTTGGTGTTTTGCCCCTATATCTTCCCATACAGCTAAGGGGCATAAGCTCATCAGCAGGATAGGCATTTTCCATGTATGCATTATAAGCATGGTAGAACATATCTCTTGCTTCCTCCCTAATCGGTTTTAAAACGTTAAAATGAATTGCAAAATATAATTAAAACTGATTTACCTTAGTTGGTGCTTTTCTGCATTGGTTATAATGGTTTTGGTCTTTTCGCAAACACATGATGAAAATAATAATACACTTACAGCCACTAGAAATTTCGGTGATAATTTAGTAACACAATGCATCTTAAGGATAACGACAATTTTGTCAAGAAGACCTTTTTATACTTCTTAACATATTGTTTCAAGCCCAACCAGTATGTCAAAACAACCCAGATAAGAAAATTGTTATCAGCCACTGCGAGGTAAGGTGTTGCTTTGTTTAATTTTAACGTTCATGTCTTGTAAACCAAACTGCTTTAGCATTGAACACTTTAAATTTTCCCGATTGTTGTCGGACCTCTCATTATTGATAGTGAAAAACAAGAACTGTCAAACTATAGCTGTAAAGGATTTTTTCCCAGCAGCCACTGATGGGGGAGGGACTTACCTGGCACTATAAGCACGCTGATTGGATGAGAGCAAAGAAAGTTACCAATAAAAGTAGAATACTGTAGTACCTTAAAGTCAGGTGCGTAACTTGCCTTATTATTTTGAATATACAATAATTGTAATTACCTATAATAATTATTGTAATTCTACGAGGTGATCGAGTTTCAATTTGAATCAAATTATTTGATATTATCAAATAACAGAACAAATCAGGGACCCGGACCCAAATGAAATAACGGTTCCTGTCCGCGGACCTATTGTATAATATAAAATAATCTATCGGGCGCTACCGGATTCAATATGTGCATTTGTCCATGGTTTTTCCGCATACGGCACGATAAAAAATTTATAGGAAATTTCCTACAGGCACACCATAACTTTTAAATTTTCCTTACTGACACGCAAAATTGATTGAATAAATTTTGTATTTTTTCGATTTCAGCTTTGTTCTTGGACAAAAAAAACAAATCCTTAATTATTAATTAAGAGCCAGACACTTCTCTTATAAAAGGCCCTTATCTTGCTTCAGAAAAATATATTCTACTTAAAATTTCTAAAGCTTTTTTTTTTCAATCTTATAAAGACACATTATTACTTAAATTATATATTTTAAACGATTACAATTATACATATTAAGATAAATCGGTGTCATCATCTCTCTTCCTTTTCAAGCCATTATCAAAATCCATTGCCGTTATACCATTTGAAGTGGGCAGCTGGATGTTCTGTTGAATCTGAATTTTATGTTTTAAAACAGTCTTGGGCTGCTGTATGGTGGTTGTGATCTTTGTTACTGGTTTGGGAATCGTAACAGTTTGTTTGTTTATGCCAATAGCGCTTGTGCGTTTTATGTAACTAATATTTGGTTTAGCTGTTAGTTTCATTGTACCAGCTCCAGCAGCAGTGTAGCTCTTCTTTTTCTGTGCATTTTTTAATGTGTAATTGCATGAGGATAAGCAGTAACGATCAGGGGGTAAACGTAAACCACAGTGGGGTTTCACACTGGGTAAGGGAGCATAATTCTTTACATGAGCACATTCTAAAATGACTTCTCTTGGTGGTGGAGTGGTAAATGTAGATTCGGCTGTCAGTTCTAGAGCTAAGCGCACATCATCCACCTCCAGTTTCTTCTTTGTATTATTGGCATACATCCTAGCCTCCTCCAAGATTGATGTTGCATATCTGTATACAAATTCTGTAAGTTGCACGATAGTTTTTGGCTCATATTCGGTTACTCCCATTTCTTTCATTATAGACAACACAACTTGACCATCTTTCGGTATGTTTTTAGGTTGTATCGCCTTACCCTTATCCTTTTCTGCCATTTTTAAGCTTTTCACCACTAAACTATCAAACATATAATCATCTCTGCATATAACAAATTAAACCTAAATATTTACTAAATTGACAACTTTTGACAACACAATTGTTATGGTTATGGTGATTTTTATGGTACCAATATGAAACTAAATATAATTGTAATTGCAGCTGCAGAGCTGCCAACATATATATATATATATAGCAAACAACAAAAGCCGTTAAATCCATGTTAACTTATTCCGAGGTATAGGCCAAAAATGTGTACAGCCGATTTCCAAAAATATTTAAAAACTATTAAAAGGAAATGTTGCTCCTGTTGAGTTGTCTCTGTTTCGGTTTTTCCTTAAAATGCTGTGCCAAGTCAAAAGAGTATGAATCGGTACTATACTCCAAGCTCCAAGATATTTTTAAATTGTTCTCTTCTGATTAATAGATTGAATTCCTTCCTCCCTCCCTTCCTCACGTAAAAGATGAATAATTGTTTTGTTTATAAATTCCCGTACGGGAATCTATAAATGGCGCTACGATTTTCGTATTGTTCATCTTTTACGGGAGAAAAGAAGGAAGGCAATCTATAAATCACTGATTTAAAATCAGGCTTTAAGGTTCAGTGATGCCACATATCTATACTTAGTAGGTATAGATATATATAGATTCTATAGTTCTCCATTTACAAATATGCACTAATTAGTGAAGCTCAAGATACATACACCTTAGTGAAGCTGTTCTTTAATTCTTTGGTCTATGGGTAAATTTATACGTCAATTTAACTGTCATTTATTGGTTAAAAAATGTTATTAAACAAAAATAAATAAATGCATGGCATTTTATCAAAGTAATGCAGCGATAAATTATGGATTAAAATTAACAATGTGATTCAAAGTTTACTTTTACCGAAAAATATATAAACAATGACAAACATGGGAGGTTATGTCTCAATATCGAGAATTTCAAGTATTATTTTTAGAATGGTCCTAAAAGTATGGGCCTATTCAGGATTAGTTCTCGTATTTTGCTTCTTATTATACTACATGTATGGAGGAATATTTGCATTTATGCTCCTATTCTTTTCTATAACAGGTGACATATTAAAAGAAAGTATAAAGGTTACATCTAAAAGTATATTTTTTAGGTATTTTGTATCAAGTACAAGATATGCTGCTGTATTCCCCTGAACTACCTAGTCATTCTAGAGTTTATGTTCCTATTCCAACAATGTTTGGTTTACCATATGAAAGTGTTCATACCAAAGGTTCTGATGGGGTTGAAATTCACATGTATTTCATTCATCAACCTCTGGAAAGACAAAGACATGCACCTACAATTTTATTTTTGCATGGAAATGCAGGAAATATGGGGCATAGGCTGCAAAATTGTGTAGGGCTATTTCACAATTTGCACTGTAATATTTTGTTGGTGGAATATAGGGGATATGGGCTTTCAGAAGGAAGTCCTTGTGAAGAAGGGCTTTATATTGATGCTAAAACTGGCCTGGATTATTTATACTCAAGAAATGATATTAATCACTCAGAAATTATTATCTTTGGAAGATCTCTTGGTAAATATATAAAATCCTGTATGGGATGAACATAAAATGTCCTAATGTACAGTTTTAAAATTTTTGAAACATTTTAAGACAAGATTTAATTAAGGTACCGTCAACCGGGGCTAAATGGATCAAAAATATCCATTTATTCAAATTAGTTCCAAAACTATTCGAAATTTTTGCCTGAAACTTGGAATGTACATTTCTTGGTTACTCAGTTATGCATTGACCATTTGCCCACATTGTAACTCTTTCAATGACCTATTTTTTTTATATATATATAGTGATCCACTTTACCCATAGTTTGGGGTAAAGTGGATAATCCATTAAAAATCATACAAATTTCACTTTAAACATATGCTGGGTAAAGTGGATCACAATTAAATAATAATTTTAAAAAAATTGTAGGGAAAAAGCAGTGTAAACCATTAAAATCAATGAAAAACTTCAAAAATAAGGGAAAAACAATATAAATAGTTCAAATCACTGAGAAACTTCAAAAATAGGTCTTTTATTCTCACAGTCTCAGTCTATAGTCTAAATAAAGTCAAAATATGTTTTTATCAACAAAAAAAAAATTAAATTCTATTGGTATACTTTTATATCCATAGGTACCTATAGAATTTTGTTGACGATCTCGAGATCCACTTTGCCCCAAGAGGTGACATCAGTGGATTAAAAAAATCCCACACGGACTCCCCTTTAAGACACAAAGGTCTTGACTGTTTATTATTTTAAGTCAAAAGTTAGGTTATTGATATGCAATTGTCAAATACACATAAATATTAACATATCGCCTGTGCAAATAAACGAATTTTGACATTTCGATAAATGTACATTTCTGAATTTTAGAACATATATTGTTTTAAGCAAACTTATTTTTGTTTATGAAAATTAACGCATATAAGCCCAACCACCATTGTGTAGTAGACTGACTTGCGCCGGCAAAATTCGCACTCACGTTACAGGTTCGAGACTGCGCATTTTAATATTACGTCAGGAAGTTGTCATCCACTTTACCCCAGCAGATCCACTTAGCCCCGTTTGACGGTATCAATTAAAAACAGATTTGGACATTTAAAAAATATGTAAAATGATTACTAAGGTTAAGGAACCCCTAATTCATAATAAAACTAGAATATAATGAAATATATATTTAGTAGTATATACTACTAATAATAAAATAAACTATATATAGGTATACCTATTGCAAAAAAAAATTACAATTGGTCATTGACCTAGTTACTGGTAGCTGGTAAACAAATATTTTATGTACATAACAAAAAAAGACAAGCATAATTGAGGAGCGTTTATTCAAAAAGGGACATGTCCATTTTAGCGATTTGCAGAAACAAGTCAAAAATAACAGAATTATTTTGCTTTTGACTTATTTCTGAAAATCGCTAAAATGGACATGTCCCTTTTTGAATAAACGCTCCTCAATTATTATAAAATTAAATTAATTAGTTAATATTAATTTTCCATTAATTGTAAGAGATAGGTACTCCCATAGAATCTTTTCTGGGTCCTTGTGTTTTATATTTACCTGTAGGTATGTACATCTAAACATTTTGGAGATTTTCTCAATTTTTATATTGTTTAGTTATGAAATATATTAAAATCAATATTGATTTTAATAATTACCTATATGATATCATATAGGTAATTATTTTCTTTTTTAGATATAAAACAATTTGACGTTTGCAAATAACATTGTATCTCAATTTTTGTCAAAAGTATTATCTTTTTCAATAAAACTCGAGTTTCATCAATTATCATTTTTTTTCAGATATTCGTCAAAAAATGTATTTTCGAATTTCTCAAAAATAAGATTTATTGAAAAAGACAACACTTTCATATAGGGAAATGATCTATACCTACCTAATAAGTTTTTCCAAAAATCGAAATACGTATATATATGTCCTTATTTGGGAACGCCGATTTATTTCTTAAAAATAGTTATGCTCCATAAGAATATTACAGTATATGGAATATATTTTTTATTTTACCTGTCTTAAATAAGTTAAAACCTGTGCTTTCTTGTTAATTATCATGATAACATTTAAGGTGGAGCTGTAGCAATAGACTTGGCAAGAAGAGAAGATTATGCCAGTAAAATTTGGTGTTTGGTTGTGGAAAATACATTTACCAGCATACCAGACATGGCAAAAGTTTTATTGGGCTGGAGAGTCCTAGAATATTTTCCATTAGTATTTTATAAAAATAAAGTAATAATTACTAAAATAATTGTATATTAATAATACTAATAGTTAAATTTCAGTTTTTATCATATTTAAAAGTAAAACAGCTTCGTATTCCAAGCTTATTCATATCAGGCTTAAATGACACAATGGTCCCTCCAAGAATGATGGCTGATCTTCACCATCGTAGTGGGAGTATCAGAAAACAACTCCTGCAGATACCAGGAGGAACACATAATGATACCTGGCAAATGCAGGGATACTATCATTCGCTTGCTGTATTCCTGCAAAACTGCAGAGTGCAAAATACCATAGACAAACAGAAAACTGCATGCTTCCCAGAAACTTCGACAAGTACTGATCATATTTGGGGAACAGTTCATGTTATCTAATATTTTTGTAATTTAATATTGTACAAAATATAGGTAAGATACAAGTTCTTTATTGTAGTTTATACATTTTTGTGATTGTAAACCACGCACTTTAAAGTGTCTGGTTATATTTAATTTTTATATCGAATTATTCCCAATAAAATTGTTAGTAATTTTAATGTTTTTTTTAATTCCTACTAATCTATCTATAACGTATGATGTCTATAGGCAATAAGTGGAAGTCTGACAAAGCAATTTTTGTTTCGCTACCCATTGACAGGTGGCAGATGATTTAAAGGTTAGGATGATGAAATACGTCATTTTCCTGCCGAAAGTGATATTGGAATTGGATCATGGCTGATGAAAGCAAAATTATCACCGAAACCAATGAGGATGGCACTCCAAAAACTGCAAAACAGTTGGAAAAAGAGGCAAAGAAGCAGGCAAAGTTGGACAAATTAAAACAGAAATTGGAAAAGCAACAAAATACGGCACCTAAAAAAGATGTTGAGGTAAGCATGCAATATCAAACCATATGTGAAATGATCATTTAAAACTGTGTAATTGCAGAAAAAAGAGAAGAAAAAGGAACTAAAAGAGGCGGCGGTGTATAGTATTAACACCACAGAGGGTGACAAAAAGGATACAGTTAACAGTTTGCCAGATGCTTACAGTCCAAAATTTGTCGAAGCTGCCTGGTACAGCTGGTGGGAAAAACAAGGGTTCTTTAAGCCAGAATATGGTGTAAGTGGAATATATATCTTTTTTTTAAATTTGTATATAAATTTTATGTTGGTATTTTAAATTCTGCATACTTTTTGTGTTTTGGATGCAACTATGGTTTGCAATTTGCGAGGCAATTTGTAAAATTTTTATTGCCATTTGCAATCCATCAAAAAAACAATGTAATAAATAAAAATATAATAAACATTGCTAAAAATTTCAGTCAAGATTTAACAAAAAAGTACATTTTGAAATAAGAGATTTTTTCTTATTTTTAATTCTTACTAGATTTTCCCGTCTTAAATATACCTAGTTTACATTCTAGAACTTACTCTTTGCAAGTTTAAAATATTTATATGCATTGGCAGGGGGGGGGTTGACCCTCCCAAAAATTTTAAAAACAGTTGTGTTTTGAGATATTTTAAAAAATTCTAACAAGTAGGTATCATATCATATCTTTATAGTTTCATTAAACTCTTATATTTTACCAAAACCCCCCTGAATTTTTTTTTGCATAAAAGGCTGGGAATATTTATTATTTTTAAGATTCTTAAAATTTTTAATAAACTTTTGAAAAATCTTATTTGGGTAAATCTTCACTAGGTAATCTTAATTCAAATTAAAACCATGTTTATATGTTTATCTTATTTGGGTAAATCTTCACTAGCTAATCTTAATTCAAATTAAAACCATAAAAATATTCCTTTATATTATATTTTTTTATGTTTTTCAAAAAATATATATTCAAAATGTATGTACTCCACACATAAAAGTCCCACCACATGACTATGTACAGAATGCAGTCTTTTGAAAATATGGCATTTAAGGCATTTAAGGTTATGTATCTGTATAGTATAGTCAACAAAAGAAATCATGTTTATATGTTTACCGCTTATGTTCAAGTGTTAAAAATTGTTAAATCTTTATAGTATCATAAAAACAATGTTTTTTTTTGAGAATTTAGGAATATAAATACTGCATTTAATTAAATTCTAAAATGTATAGTGCCAAAACAGCTAGATTATAAGAAAACATAAACAATTTTCAGAGGAACGTGCAGTGTAGATCAATTAAGTTAAAGCTTTGTACCTATTTACTTGAATTGACAAAACTTTATGTAGGTAGGTATTAGAAATTTTTTTTAGAAGAAATTGTAAAGTAAAAATATTACTATAGTATAAAAGTACCTATCTAATATTATATTAGATAGGTACTTTTATACTGTGGGATTTATTTAAATTTTAAAAGTTATAAGGTTATAATGATTGTTTGATTAAGATCAAATTCTGTCAAAGCTTTTATAGGTACTTATATTGACAGTTAAAAAGGTTAGCAATTGAATTTCCAAAAATTTACATAGGTGTAAAAACAGTTAACATTTTTTTAAATTAAGTACTTAATGGTTTTATATTTGTGATCTAAGATCAAATATGCACGATATGGAAGATCACTGATCTTCCATATCGTGCATATTTCCAAGAGCCAGCTTATTGGTAATTTTGTTATACTATGTTAGTAGCACAGTTATGTTGGTGTTATATTGCTTATTAGTTAATTTTGAATAACGAAGTGACTAGGTGCATGTTAGAGTGCCTGAAATTAATTTTTTTACGGGCACGCTAGTGAGGTAATAGATAAAAAATGTCATCACTGCCGTCCTGCCTAATTTAAAATTGGCGGCACGTCAATAATACAGGGTGTTATGTAATTAATGTTATATATTAAAATACTAAATACCTTTTGACATAAGGAATAAAGGAAAAATATTTAAAAAAACATTTTTCCAAAGATGAAGAAAAAATATGCATTAGAAGTTTTTTATATTTTTTGTGATACGCCACTGGTTACACACTTGTTTATCTCTGCACACCTGTATTAGTAGAGGATCCCAAGTAAGGTCGACCTTCACCCATCTGCTTACCAGATGAAAATTATATTTTATCAAATAAAATATGTTTCTGAACATAAACCAATAGGGTTGCCATAAAAAATATGATCAAGGCTAGCTATAATAAATAAAAAATTAAAAAAAAAATAATTAATTTTTTAAATTTCACCGACTTGCTTGCCAAATGAACGAAATTCTAATGGAAAGCATACAACATACAGAATATGTAACAGCTAGGTTGCCTACCTTTTTCTGGTCCCTATTACCTGGTTGCTTTGTACAGGGTGATCCCCTATAATGTCGCGCCCCTTTAACTTTTTTATTTTAAGTGTCCCAAAAAATTTAAAAGTTTGGTTATGTAGGTACTAAAAAATACTTTTTTTCTACGTACCTATAAAGAAAATTGGAAAATTGATCGGTATACAGGGAAAAACAAAAAGTTTATTTTTTTTCAATGGATCACCGTATATATGAATTTATTTTTCGATTCCTTGTAAAATTCTGAGCATAATTTATATAACAAACCATATACCTAAATTCAACCGTTTCTGAAATATTCGCATTCGAAATGTCATCATTAAATGTTTTTTTAAACTGTTAGAAATCAAGAAGCCTCAGTATACCAAAATTTTTATTGAAAATAAATTACTATAGTGACATTATGTCAATAAGTGTTGTTAAATAAGTAAAAATGGCGTACTCAGACAGAGAAAAACAAACTATTTCAACTTATTATCTTAAAAATAATTTAAATATTTCAGAAACGGTTGAATTTAGGTATATGGTATGATATATGAAATATGCTTAGAATTTTACAAGGAATCGAAAAATAAATTCATATATAGGGTGATCCATTGAAAAAAATAAACTTTTTGTTTTCCCTGTATACTTATCAATTTTCCAATTTTCTTTATACGTAGAAAAAAAGTATTTTTTAGTTCCTACATAACCACACTTTTAAATTTTTTGGGACACTTAAAATAAAAAAGTTAAAGGGGGGCGACATTATAGGGGATCACCCTGTACAAAGCAACCAGGTAATAGGGACCAGAAAAAGGTAGGCAACCTAGCTGTTACATATTCTGTATGTTGTATGCTTTCCATTGGAATTTCGTTCATTTGGCAAGCAAGTCGGTGAAATTTAAAAAATTAATTATTTTTTTTTAATTTTTTATTTATTATAGCTAGCCTTGATCATATTTTTTATGGCAACCCTATTGGTTTATGTTCAGAAACATATTTTATTTGATAAAATATAATTTTCATCTGGTAAGCAGATGGGTGAAGGTCGACCTTACTTGGGATCTTAGACTATATTTTGTGAGTACATATATACTGACCAACAAAGTAGCTATGCGTTGCCAGATGTAAAAAATTGTTACTAAAAATTTTTCTTGCAAAAAATAAATAAAAACTCAATAAATACAAAATTTTTATGCCCTTAAAGCTCTAATACCCTTCCGTATTTATTTACTGATCCAGCTATTAGCTTAAGCAATTTAGTACCCTGAAATTTGAAATCCATAACCACAAAATTAATTTTTTCATCAGTTTTTTTCTCTGTTTACTCAGATGAAATTGGGACCAGTTCACAGGTTAAACTTTAAGCATTTAATTTGTGTAAATAAATCCAAAAGCACTTCCCTTAGTGAAGATATTTACAATTTGAAAACATAACCTAAAATTTAAAAGAAATGCACTAGATTCTGTCATAAAAGTTGGCAGATTTTGTTTGAATTTACCTTCAGTACAAAAATGAAATAACCAACAATTAATAAAAACGCCAAATTGACAATTTGCATTGTTAATTTTGTCATTTTTGTAATTAAGCTAAATTTAAACAATGTTTGTCAACTTTTTTGAGAGATTTTGGCCACACTGTTGTTACCAACCATAACATAATAAATCCACCAGATTAACCTAAAGTTCCTAGTCGATCAGTGGCGTACTTTTTGGTAGGATAAAGGTTATTATAAATTATTTTTAGACTTTGGAATTTAGAAAAAAAAAGTTTCAGGTGCTTCTTTATGGACCCTACACGGTGGATTTTTAGGGTCAATTTTCGGATCATCAGACAACCACGGTTTTTTTTCATAAATCGATTATATGCCTGTTATAGACAAAAATTACCAAAAATAAAAAAAATCTCTCGGTTTTTTTGTTATTTATTAAGAAAAATATAATATAAATGGGTCTAACTTTACTTTTTTGGTTATTTTGCAAAAAGTATCAATTTTATCAAAATTCTGTTTTAACAGAGATATAGAATAATAAATTTTCTACAAAAAGGTTATTACCATATTTGCTTTCCTGTAATTTTTAAACGTAGTTTTTCTAAATAAATGTTTACTTATTAAAATAAGAAAAGTTATTTTAAAATTACAATTTTTAAATTACTTGTATATTATACATTACGTTTTTTCGACTTAATTAAATATTATTAATTCTAAATATTATTATATATAATTGAAGAGAGGAAATAAGAAAAGGCTTTTTTACATAAAAAGGTTCTCTGTGCCATGCTTTGCAATCTATGAAAAATTCTAATTGCCAAAATTAAAATTTACAGCCGCGGCTAGCCGGTCGAGTATGTCGAGGGATGCAGGTGCTTACCTGGCTTTTATTTAGTTTTTTTCGATTATCTCAAAACTTTATTTTTGGCACTTAGGCCCTTTCTAATTTGCACTTTACAATAAAAAATATATAAAAAATTACTTTATAATGTAGAAACTTGCAAATGCGATATTTTAAAAATATTATAACTTTGTACGGATATTACTCCTAAAGTATATATATTACAAAGAAAATGCTTATAACCTTTTTTGTAGAAAATGTATTATTCTATATCACTGTTAAAACAGAATTTCGATGAAATTAATACTTTTTGCAAAATAACCAATAAAGTAGAATTAGACCCATTTATATTATATTTTTCTTAATAAAAAACTAAAAAACCGAAAGATTTTTTTTATTTTTGGTATTTCTTGTCTATAACAGGCATATAATCGATTTATGAAAAAAAACCGTGGTTGCCTGATGATCCGAAAATTGACCCTAAAAATCCACCGTGCCTAAGGAACAACCCATTTTAATATATAACATTCATTACATAACACCCTGTATAATAATAAGT